GCACGCCGCACCATCACACTGACTCAGTCACACATGGTGCAGCAGGTCCTTCAGCGCTTCGGCTTCACCTAGTCCTCGGCACAGGCCACTCCTCTGGCTACAGGTCACTCGCTCTCAGCTCCACCTTCGGACGAGTCCGTAGAGCCAAGTGGTCCTTACCCAGAGCTAGTTGGCTGCCTCATGTACCTGATGACCTGCACTCGTCCTGACCTCGTGTACCCTCTTGGCCTTCTGGCTCGGTACGTGGCTCCTGGTCGGCACCGAAAGGTGCACATGGATGCTGCTAAGAGGGTACTGCGCTACTTGTGCAGTACATCGGGCGTGGGGCTCGTGCTTGGAGGACGGGGCGACGTTGTCCTCACTGGTCACTCGGATGCTTCTTGGGTTGACGACCAGGCTACGCAGCGGTCGTCACAGGGTTACACCTTCAGTCTTGGCTCTGGCTCTGTTTCTTGGCGGTCTACGCGCTCGTCTTCTGTTCTCGGCTCCAGTTGTGAGGCTGAGATCTACGCCATAGCCATGGCTGCACAGGAGTTACGCTGTCTCACCTATCTGTTGACCGACTTGGGAGAGAGGCCTCGTTGTCCTCCAGTTCTGTACGTCGACAACAAGGCAGCCATTGCCTTGTGTCAGGAGCACAGAACAAAGCACATCGCTCTGCGTTACTTCCTGGCTCGAGAGTTGCAGCAGCGGGGTCAGCTTCGTCTTGCTCACGTGGCCACTCGGGCCAACACTGCTGATATATTCACCAAGGCACTTCCGTCTGGTGATCATCAGCGCTTTTGTACTTTGTTGGGCCTTGTGCCTACGTTTCCACACTTGCTGTAGACTCTGCTTGTACTGTGATCTATATATATATACCTGCATGCTTGCTCTTGCTAGGTAGAGATCACTGTACTGTTTTTGTTGCATATATACCTCTGCATGTGAACTGGCCTTGTGGCATTTTTGCTTGTGCTCAGTGTGTGTGGTGACGTTGTGATCCACCCTGGGCTTGCTTTGCTTTTCTTCACTGGTCTTGTGACCTCTTGCTCTCCCCCGCTTTGCCTATGGGGGTGTGTCAAACATATATATGTGTTATAGTTTTGGGTAGGCTGTAGTGGGGTAGATACTGTGGGGTACAACCCCTTAGGTTTCTTCCTTGTACCAAAATCTCTCGACACTGCAAGTCATCCATGCCTAAGTTTCTAAGACTTGGAACTTAAACTTCCACGCGGAGTAGTTTTGTCCCGTGAAAATCGGTACCGCCGACGTGTCGAACATCGTCGCAGTTGCCTAGGGTTCGCCGGAATTTACAACGACACCATCCAAGGAAGTGCGGGAGGCCTCGCTTTACGTCATCATGCTTGCTCCTTGTCGCGCGTGTAGACTCCTCCGACCAGCTCTGATTGTCAGAAGCAAGAAGTAGAAACAAGAATGAAGAAAGGAGTGCTTTCACTAGCAGCAGTTGGGATACAAATAGCTAACCCTAACTGGGCTGTACTCGCTACAGAGCACCCCACTGCAGGCTAGATAATATAACATTCTGACACACCCCCATAGCCAAAGTGGGGTGTAATCAGCACAATGAGCAGGCATAGCAGTAGTTCACAATTATAAGCAAAGCTAGTGGTAGTCACAGCGGGCAAGTGAGGAGGAGGAGGGACTGTGAGAGGAGAGAAGATGGGAGATGACGACTGAAGCTGCAGACACACGGGCAACAGGAGCGGCTGGCACAGTGGCTACCGGGACAGCGCCCCGGACTACTGGAGTAACTGGCTCGGCGGCTACGAGGAGCGGCAGGAGCAATAGACCCACGGGCGACAGGCGCAGCAGGCTCTCTGGGCTACCAGGACAGCGCCCCGGACTACAGGTGCTGCGGACGACAAGACGGCAGCCTCCTCTCAGCCTCCCCAAACAGTCCCACCCCCCTGACACACACCCCCTGCAGAAACCCTAGCTTCACTTCCACGTCACCCCCCCAGCTCCACTCCCCGCGGCTCCCACACCTCCACCCCCCTCAGCAGCAGCTGCAGCGATGGGAGACGAACAAGGAGGAGGGGAACAGCCACACCGCGCACCCCCATGCTTGCCACCCCACACCCCCCACCACCGCGGAACGCACGGCGGCACGGGAGGAATGGGCAGCACGGGGGGGGGGGGGGGGGGACGGGACAGGAGGGGCCGCGCGCTCCTCCCCCAGGGCGCCAAGACGGACGGGCGGGAGGGGGGGCGCGCGCGGCTCCCCAGGGCGCCGCGACGGACGGGCGGGGGGCGCGCGCGGCTCCCCAAGGCCGCGCGGCGGGTAGACGGGCCGCGCGCGGCCTGCAGACCCGCGCGCGACCTGCAGGGCGACGCGACGGGAAGGGCGGGGGCCGCGCGCTGCTCCCCAAGGCCGCGCGACGGGCAGACGGGCCGCACGCGCCCTGCAGACCCGCGCGCGGCCTGCAGGGCGACGCGACGGGAAGGGCGGGGTGTTGCACGCGGGTCCCCCACGGCAGAAAACCGCCGCGCGCCTCGGGGCGCACGGCGGGCAGAAACTCGCCGCGCGCCCCGAGCGCACGGCGGGATGAAAACCCTAAACCCGAAAACCCTAAACCCGGCAGGAAGAAGACGGCGCGCGCCCGAGGCGCGCGAGAAGCAGAACAGCAGCGGAAGCAGTTAGGTGGCGGGCCCACCCACAGGATCGACCCAAGGGGATCGACCTGCTCTGATAGCATGTCAGAAGCAAGAAGTAGAATCAAGAATGAAGAAAGGAGTGGTTTCACTAGCAGCAGTTGGGATACAAATAGCTAACCCTAACTGGGCTGTACTCGCTACAGAGCACCCCACGGCAGGCTAGATAATATAACATTCTGACACTGATACCACTGTTGTAAAGGACTCTCTTCTACTTTGCATGAGCTGGGATTTGTACTAAACGATGGAGCACTCTGTTGGCTTTCCAACGAGCTGTAGAACACGTCGATTGTCTAAGTATCCGCCGAGATATAGGCGTTCATGTGCTATGTGGTGCTCTTAGAACATAGGATAGGAGCTCTCTGGATTTTGTGTCGAGTTGAACCGTGTGTAGGAAACTCTGATTTTCAGTATGAAGCATGCAATACAAAGCAACTAGTTTTATAGCATGCAATCAACATCGAACCGCATTCGTAACATCGCATCGCTACACTTCGCGAATGTTCTCGTAACATTTCGAAGGGGTGAAATTCGACACTCGAATTTCACTCATTCGAATGTTCCTTCAAGTCTCGAACTTTCTGGTGCTGCCATGTGGCACCGATCTGCAGGTCTTCCGAAGTCAACCTGCAACTTCACGAAACATGCAGTGAAGTCAATTAGAAGCAAGACATTCGGTGGTTGTGGGCAAACCTTGCCTCACGCAACCTCCAACAACACGGATTCGCCTTGCCATACCCACCATTAAAGCTGCGGTCTACATACTTTGAGGCATTTTCCGGGGGCATTTATGGAGAACACCCTATGACGGCCATTGATTTGACAGCGAACCAATCCACTCAGTGAAACTAGTGTGCGATGTGACTCCAACATGGTTTGCGAGCCCCGCCAGTTTCGTGCGGAGGGTCGTGTGGGAAAACAGCAACAGTAAGGGCGGAAGCCCGGTTGAGTCTGGGGGAAGAATGTGCGGAAGGGCGGAAGCAATACACACATTCTCAGGTGAATTATCAGGAGCGGGGTCCAGTGTTGTCTGCAAAACGAGAAATCGCCCACGACACCAAAGCACAGAGAGAAGCTAAGCAGAGAATAAGCGGCTAATCATAACGAGTGAAGTTCCTTACATACCGCAGCGACGAATAGGCTCAACCGTAGGGCATGGCTGCTGACGCCAAAAATAACCCAGTTTAGGGTTACAACTTAGGGTTGCAGGTGAGTTCCACGACACTTAGATAGAATATATGAAAAGCCGTTGAATCACGCATCGCGCTACCGATACGTGCGGTGCATCGCGCTTCGCGGTTGAGTCGAACATGTCGCGGTGCCTTCTTCCATGTTTAGGCGTTGCATCAGTCAAGCCCACCCTGCTGCATCCGCCTTCTCGACAACTACTAGCGCTCAAAGAGCAACATTTGACTCTTAGTATGACCTTTGGTTATCACAAGGCGTTCAATACATAGGTCAATCTTGCGGGACTCACGCCTCACGCGCCGCTTCACACGACACGCGCCGCTACACGCCTCACGCGCCTCTTCACGCCTAACGCGCCGCGAGCGCCTCAGTTGCGAATCTTCACGCCTCACTCGCCGCTTCTGGCCTCCCTCGACGGCCCTCGATTCACGCGCCGCTGAAGGCCTCACCAGCCTCCCGCGCCCCCCCCCCCTTAGCTCGCCTCTCCCGCTTATCGCCGCACCAGCTTCTCGCCTCACCAGTTTCTCGCCTCGCCCGCTTATCCCCTCTCCCGCCTATCGCCTCACCCGCTTCCCGCCTCGCCCGCTTCTCGCCTCCTCGACGCCTCGCATCCTGGCGCGAAGATACTCAGCTGCTCGCCTGCTCGACTCCCTTGCTCTGCTTCTCCCCTCGCCGACTGCACGCATCACCCTCTTCTAGCCTAACCCGCCCATCCCACCGGGCAACCGCATCCCTCTCCTCAGGGGCTTCCATGAAAGCGCCCATAACCCCCCCGTGCTCTAACTCAACCCCTTTCCTCCATCCACCCCCGCTAGCCCTCATGTTTGACCTGTCAAACACATACTCTTGCGCATCCCCTCGTGGGCCCACCTTCGTGCCCCCATTTCCCCCCCCCTGATTCCCCTCAATTTCCCCACACCATTCCTAGTTTCCCCCTCAGCTTAGGCCCAGGCCGGACTCATGTTACGCCTCATAAATCCTTATGCTTCCGGTCATGTCCCACTCTGCTCCCCCCATTGCCCCCTCTGCCCCCCCATGCTTTAGACCCCTGATCCCCCATTTCTCTCTCCACTCCCTCCCATGACCCGCTCCCTCCTCCCCTCATTTCCGCCTCTGCCTCCTCTAATGTCCCCCTCTTCATCCCCTCGTTTTAGCATATCAGGTGCCTGCCTGAGCAACTCCCTCACCAAAGACGCCACGCCCGCCAAGCCAACCACATCACGGTCGCCCATTGAATCGACACACCTTCGCGAGGTGAGTCAGCCTTTATCTCCCGTCCCCTTCAGTGCCCTGAAAGCCACTGCCCTACCCTCTCCGACTCTCCCTTTCCCCCATTGCCCTCTCCTTACCCTGCTCTTCGCCTACTGCTCATCCCACCCTGCCCTGCTCATCCCCTGTTGCCCTTCCCGGTCTTTTCCCCACTGCCTGTCCCTCACTGTCCTGCCTTCCCATGTTTCATCCATTATCTTAGCAATTCAGGATAACCCCCCCTCCCTACCTTCCAAACTCCCTACCATGCTCTCTTATCTCCTAGGCCGTCCTTCCCACCCCCCAATCTTTTGCCATCCACCTCCCATGGCACCACATCTTCCTGCCATTCCTCCCGCCCCGCCCTTCAATCCCATCAAGTGCTCCAAGCTAGCTCCATGTTTCCTCCTGCTATCTCCATGTTTCCCCCCTGCTAGCCCCATGTTTTCCCCCCTGCTAGCCCCATGTTTCCCCCCTGCTAGCCCCATGTTTCCCCCCTGCTAGTCCCATGGTCCCCCCCTGCTAGCCCCATGTTTCTCCCCTGCTAGCCCCATGTTTCCCCCCTGGTAGCCCCAAGTTTTCCCCCTGCTAGCCCCATGTTTCCCCCCTGCTAGCCCCATGTTTCCCCCTGCTAGTCCCATGTTTCCCCCCTGCTAGGCCCGGGTTTCCCCCCTGCTATCCCCATGTTTCCCCCCTGCTACCCCCATGTTTCCCCCCTGCTATCCCCATGTTTCCCCCCTGCTAGCCCTGCTATCCCCCTGCTAGCCCCATGTTTCCCCCCTGCTAGCCCCATGTTTCCCCCCTGCTATTCCCATGTTTCCCCCCTCCTAGCCCCATGTTTCCCCCCTGCTACCCCCATGTTTCCCCCCTGCTAGCCCCATGTTTCCCCCTTGCTAGCCCCATGTTTCCCCCCGGCTAGCCCCATTCTCATCCCCCTACCAGCTCCATGTTGCCCCTTGCAAGCCCCATGTTTCCCCCTTGCTAGGCCCATGTTTCCCCCTGACCGCACCTCCATTTCCCCCCAGGCCGCACCTCCCTTTCCCCCAGGCCGCACCTCCCTTTCCCCCAGGCCGCACCTCCCTTTCCTCTGAGTCCGCACCTCCCCATGCCCCCACATCGCACTTCCCCTTCCCCAAGGGGCGGACTTCCCCTCCCCCCATGTCCTCCTCTCTAACATCTTTTCTTCCTCTCCCCCCCGTGTTCTCCTCCCACCCCCCAGTCCTCCAGTTTGCCACACTCATGCTCCATTCCGCTGGATACAGTGTTGCTATTGTGTCACAAGGTCTCCCCCCCTCAACACGCCCCCCCTTTTCCCGTCCGAGCCACAAAAATGAGGATTCAGCGTGCCACTCGGGTGCGCCGGGGAAGACGCTATCGGATCCTTGGGCCGATGATCTGGGATTGGGTCGATGACATCATGCGAGATTGGGGATGCGTGGAGGGTGGGGATGACGAGCAAACAAGTGCGGTGCAAGATGCTTCGTCACAGCCCCCACACGCCCCCGACACACCGGTCGTGCTTCGGAGAACCCAAGCCACTGCGGTCGGCGACGATACACCCACTCCCGATTCGACACCACGGAAGCGACGCCGTACCGGCGAAACGTCCCGGCCGCTGGCGCAGCGCGCCATATTCGGTAAGTTCAGCCGCTCTAACCCCATAAATCCGGTTAAACAGCATTTCTGAATTTAATGTTTTGCCTAGTTTAGGTGCGGTCTCCTCCCCCACCATTCTCACTACCATCCAAAATAAATGTCTAGTGATCTTGCTTCCAACGCTCCCACTCGCAGGCGACGTGACCAACGTTTTGTAATAGAGTCTAGCCCAACATGCCGGCATGTTAGCAAAGAGAAGGTGTGGGTTGGACGTTGTGTGTGTGGAGCGTATGCACTGCACGGTATCGTGATTCCTGCATTGCCTCCTTTATCCCCAGTCAGGAGGAAACGCCCTTACAATCACACCCTTTCTCTCTGTTTCCCTGCCAACCTCCGTTGTTGTTGCTGTATGGCCCTGTTTCCCTCTCTCAGGTGCCTTTTCCATCTACATCGACACGTGGCTTTCAGGCGTGTTTGACTTTCTTGACCTGAGGCAGAACCACTGTAAGGAGGAGAACAGAGCGAGAGACCTCTTTTACGGGCTGCAAATCCCTGATCTCTTCATGCAGCGCGTGCAGGTGAGTGGGTATCCGAACCTATCTGAACCTGTCCTTAGGTACCTGAAGCAGGCTCATGTGCAAAGGCTTGAGCATAGGGCCTGGGACCTGTTCTACGGACCTGCAAGGGGGAGGGTGGGTTGCACAGTTGATGTGCCTGACTCCCTTGACTTCCTTGTCCTGAGGAAGCACCATGTGGAAGAGTAGAACGGAACAAGAGACCTTCATCTAGCTTGTTATTTGAAGCATTTTTTTTAAACTCGTTGCAACCAGGTGTAGGTGCAGCCGCTTCAACATGCCCTGGTCCCTATTCTGGTCGCTCGTTTGACCCCCATGGCTCCAGGCCTGGCCTTGCATGCTGCCTGTCACAACTTCTCACCCAACCCTTTGTTCCCCTCCGCCCCACCCTGGCCCCTGGCGGACTGCTGGGGGGGGGGGAGTTTGAGGCGCTCTACCTCGGATACGAGATGGAGGTGAGCGCATGGGGGGTAGGGGTGTGTTTGCAGTAGAAACATAAATGAGTGGCTGGAGCTTCGCTGGCCTGGCGGAGTTTTAAACTGTGTGATTTTGAGGCGCTGTACCTTAGATACGATCGTGTTTGGTTGGTTCTTACCAAAATGCGTGTGTTAGAACCAGAGGACTTTTGAGTCGAAACACAAGTCAGCCTGTGTTAGAACCTGAATTCTTGACCCGATGAATCACGAGTGACTTGCAGACTGCTGGTAGAACCAACTTGAGGTCCATTCTCTCCCCATTTCACTGGTTGCGCATCTTTGCTCATCTGTGTGCCTTATCCTCTTCCCTCTTTCCATATTCCCTCCAAACTTGTTTCCCCTTTAGGGTCGAGCCCAGCGGGTGATACCGTCTCGGAACCTCTGGTTTGCAATGTGTGAAGCGCAGACTTGTGCTCCACCGTTTCCTCATCTCACCTGTCGGGATGCGCTTTCCCCTCTTCCCTTTTAATCTGTTTTTCACAGGGCCGAGCCAAGCGGGTGATACCGTCGCAGAAGCTATGGTTTGCAATCTGAGGCGCAGATTGAGACAGGCAACCTGTACATGCTCTTCAAGGTGAGAGCTGCTGTGGTCTGCGTGTGGGGTATGTTGGCGGGCTTTACTGTGCTGTGCTTTGTGAGTCGATTCGGACTCATTCTGTGAGGCACAGATTGAGAGAGGCAATTAATACGTGCTGTTCAAGGTGCGTGCGCTGCTGCCTTGGTGCGGTGCTCTGCTCTGTAGTACATGTTACAAACTCTTGAAATTTTCTTCCTGTTATCGACTCTTCCCCTGTTGAGCATCACCATTTAGTGCCGGTATGATTGCCTTTCATCCCCTGCCTCTCCTCACGCAGGACGCATGCAATCGCAAGTCGCACCAGCGGAATCTGGGCACCATCAAGCACAGCGCGCCATAGAAGGGGCAGCACCCTTACACTTCTTGTACCTGTCCGCAGTTCAAATAAGATATATGCATCCTTCAATAAGCGAACATGTAGCTTACAACATGCACAGTGGACCGCTGTATTAGTTTTATACGGGCTTGTTACACGCCACACTAAGTGATGTCATCAATACAAAGCAAGCACTCCATCTGCACTAGCGCAATCAAAGTCGATGCGAGTGGGCAACCCACGGAGTGCGTTGAACCACGCCACATCATCCTCACCACATCCCACATACAACCCTCCTGGAGGCTCCGGGTATATTGTTGCGATAACTACAGAAATCAACCATGGCAGCTCAACCTCATCCCCCTGGTCTTCTCCCAACAAGTCCGAATAACCGACATAACACCGAAAGCGATGGTTTTTTGGGTACAACTCCTCGTCATTCGCACCAACACTCAGGTTTGCTCCGCAACAAACACGAATGACGTTTTCGACGGTACGTTCAGCAGCGTAGAGACCCACTGTAGACTCGCTTGGGAACCCCAACCACTCCGAGGCCCACTTGCACAACACCTCGTTCTGTTTAGGAAATCGCTTTGCAAATTCAGCGATCGTCCAGCAATATAATGGAATCCGAATCACCGGTGGAAGACCAGATCGGAACCGAACCCGTCTAGTGAACCTAGGCGCGGAGAGGCTAGAGATACTGCTAGTCTGAGATGCCACGGTCAAAGTTACAGGACGCGGATCAGGAGTATTCTGTGTCACCGTTTCTTCCTCGTCTGACTCACATACGAGCCTGATCGGATCTGGCCGACGACGCATGAGCGCACGAGAGCGGGGCCTGCCACACAACGGGCACCAAGAGACATGATTTCGAAAGGGGGGTGTAATTCACCTGCGGCCAGCAAGCAAGGTAGTTGCTTAGATAATCCATCAAGGTTCGTGCTGATCGAGACTACAAACGAGGCACCAACCTTATTGGCCCGCCGGACCGGATCTGCCTCGATGAGCGGCTACCATTCCCGTGAGCGTTCGTCATTTGCCTCCTTGCCTTCCAGTCTGGGAGGGATCAGAGCAGTGAAAGGAGAATGGGCAGAGGGAGTGAGGCAAACCTGGAAAAGGGGAGAGAAGGGAGGTAAGTTGTAAGACGAAAGGATTGAGCAAGGTATAAGGCAGAGAGGGGTGAGGGTGGAAAGGGTAGTAAGGCAGGGTGAAAAGGGTAGATAATGGAGAAAGGCCGCAGGCAAGAAAGGTAGAGAGAGGTGCAAGGCAGAGATATTACAGGGGAGAGAAGGGAACAAGGGCAGAGATATTAGAGGGGAGAGAAGGGAGCAAGGCAGAGATATTACAAGGGAGAGTAGGGGCAAGGCAGAGATATTACAGGGGAGAGAGGGGAGCAAGGCAGAGATATTACAGGGGAGAGAGGGGAACAAGGCATTGATATTACAGGGGAGAGAAGGGAATAAGGCAGAGATATTGATGGGGGTAGAAGGGAGCAAGGCAGAGATATTACAGGGGAGAGAAGGGAGCAAGGCAGAGATATGACAGGGGAGAGAAGGGGCAAGGCAGAGATATTACAGGGGAGAGAAGGGGCAAGGCAGAGATATTACAGGGGAGAGAAGGGGCAAGGCAGAGATATTACAGGGGAGAGAAGGGAGGGTCACAGGGGGGGGGAGAAAGGGAGCACAACGTTGGCGACGAGAGGGGATAGAAGGGAGCAAGTGGGAGATGTGAGAGGGGAGAGAAGGGGGCCTGGGAGGGTCCCTGGAGGCTACGAGAGTTGGGATCAAGGCGGAGAGACGGGAGGGTATACTCTCAAGCAAGGGGGAGATGTGTCCTGGGGAGGGAAGGGAGCGGGGCAGAGGTATGGGAGGGGTGAGAAGGGTGCAAAGCATGGTAGCAGTGGGGGGAGAGAAGGGAGCAAGGCGGCAAATCGAGAGGGAATAAAAGGGAGCATGGCAGAGAGACGAGAGGAGGTGGAAGGGAGCTAGGCGGAGGTATGAGAGAGGAGAGAAGGGAGCATGGCAGAGAGACGAGAGGAAAGAGACGGTGCAAGGCGGATATATGGGATGGGAGAGAATGGAGCAAGGGAGGATCACAGGGGTGGAGGGGAGAGAAGGGATCAAGGCGGAGCCCCGAGAAGGAAGCATGGCAGAGAGACGAGAGGGGATGAGAGGGAGCGTGGCGGAGATGCGAGATGCTCGCCTGTGTACAGGAAGGGTGGTGAGGGGTTCCACGGTAAGGTATGCGTGAGGGAGCAGGGCGGGCCAAGAGGAGCGCAAGGGAGGCGAATAAGGGAGGGAGGGGGAAGGGCGCGACACGGGTAGCGGAAAGAGAGATAATGGGAGAGGCTGTGACGAGAGTAACAGGTGGGAGCCCGCTACGGAGTGGCGATGCAAGCAAGCATAAATAAGGGAGAGCGGGAATTGGCAGAGAACCAAGGATGGGGCGAGGTATGTGGGGGTAATAGAGATGAGGGCGGGATGAAGAAGAGACGGAAAAAGACAGAAGGGAGCATGGCAGTGAGTCGAGAGGGAATCAAAGTGTTGGAGGGCGGGTCACATGAGGGGGAAGAGAAGGGAGCAAGACGGTGAGACGTGAGGGTATACTAGGGAGCAAGGCAGAGAGACGAGAGGGGATAGAAGGGCGGAAAGCGGAGATATGAGATGGGAGAGAAGGGAGCATTCTAACATTCATAGGGGGGGAGAGAAAGGAGCAAGGAATGTGAGACGAGAGGGGAGAGGGAGGGTGCAAGCCAGAGGTCCTATGAGGAGGGAGGGGAGCAAGGCGGAGATAGGAGAGAGGGTAGCTTGCCCTATCCCCGCTGGTGATTCCCATCCCTCTTCCTCCCCTTCCCCCCTCCCTCCCCCCCCCCCTTTCCCGCCGTAACCGTGTCTTTATGGTGGCGACTCACTCTTTTTTAGTGTGGATGACGTCCCGTAGCTCGCCTGTGGGGAGCGAGGGTTGGGGAGGGAGGTAAGGTAAGCGTGAGGGGGCACGGCGGGCGAAGACGAGTACAAGGGAGGCTAGGGAAGGCGACTGAGGGGGCAGCGATCCCCTCGAATAGGGATAAGCGCGAAGATGGTGGAGGCTGAAAAGGGAATAACGGGAATCAGGGCGCTCGTGGGAGGAAGGGGGAGTGGTGAGGCATAGGAGAGAGGGTTATATTGGAAAGAGATATTAATAAGGGAGAGTGGAATTAGGCGGCGAATCATGGATAGGACCTGGAAACAAATGGTAATATTGCAGAAAGCGGGAGGAGGTAGCGTGGGGAGTACGAGAGACGCCTGGAATATGGGTGGATGCGACATAAGGCTGCCATGAGAGAGGGGAAGGAATCGGAAAGGGATGAGAGGATGGAGTGGAGATGAGAGGTGGAAAGTTTCCACTGGAAACTGGGGGGTGGGGAACGAGGATGCGCTAAGGGGGAATGAGAGTGAGCAGGGGAGAAATGAGACGAGTGTTGGGGGAAAGGGAGTGAGCCGGGCCCGAAATGGGATGAGTGTAGGATCAGAGAGAGAGAGCAGGGGGGGAAATGGGATGAGTGAAGGCGGAATGAAAGTGAGCAGGAAGGGTGTGGGATGAGCGATGGGGGTGAGAGTGTGCGGGGGGAACCTGGGATGGGCGACGGGGGAATGAGAGAGGGAGGAAAGAAAATGAGCAGCGGGGAAATGGGGTGAGCAAAGGGGATAAGCAAGTGAGTAATGTGAAATGAGCTAGATGAAGGGGAAAAGAGAGGGAGCAGGGGGGAAATGGGGTCAGCGGAGGGGAAACGCAAGAGAGTAGTGTGAAATCGCTGAAATGAAGGGGGAAAGGGTGGGAGCAGGGGGGGAAATAGGGCGAGTGGAGGGGAAAAGGCCATGAGCGGGGGGGAAATGAGAAGAGAAGGGGGGGAAAAGGTGACCATGGAAAAAGTGGAGTGCGAAATGGGGTGCGTGTTGAGGGACAGAAAGCGAGGGGGGGGGGGATGCGATGAGGGTAACGGGAAAGGAGCGCGACATGAACGGGGAGTGCAGGACACGGGCGATGGGGTGGGGGGATGTAGGTCGGCGATGGGAACTCGAATGTGCTGGCGCTGGGGAAGGGAAAGCGCATAGCGGCTGACGGGAAAGCGCACCGCGGCTGACGAGAAAGCGCATAGCGGCTGACGAGAAAGCGCGAAGCGGCTGATGGGAAAGCGCATGGCGGCTGACGGGAAAGCGCATCGCAGCTGACGGGAAAGCGCATAGCGGCTGACGGGAAAGCGCATTGCGGCCTCCGGGTAGGCGCAGTGCGGCTGACAAAAAGGGGAGATGCCGCAGTTGCCTCCTCTAATGATGGTGCAGGGAAGGCGAAATGGTAGCGTCGGGATTGGGCTATGTGACGGCGAGGGGACATGCGCGCGACGCGAATGTGAATCGGTCCCGCTGCGAAGGGAAATGCTCGCGCCGGGAAGGGGAATTTTGCACGCGGGGAAGGGGAAATCCGCTTGTCGAGCTTGACCAATGCGTGCGCCGGGTAGGTGAAACGCGCGCGACGCAATCGCGCTATGCGGGCGCTGCGTTTTGACCGCAAAACGCTGTTCGACTAGCGCCAATGCGCCGTGCTGTGGTTGATGCTGAAATCAGGGCGCTTCGCTAAAGGCCAGCGGTGAATGCGACGCATTCAAGTCGTCCGGACGCCACTTGGCGGGGAGCACCAAAGAGACGGATATCTGGCCATTGCGAGATTACCGTGCTCACCGCCTTATTGCAGTGTGGCGTCGAGCTCGTCCTGAAATGACACGAATAGCGACTAGGCTCTTAGGATCGTAAACACCTTAGTCGGCAATAGTCTACTTGCTATTGCTTATCGTGTTCTCCACGATCTCACGAATCCAATGATATGCGCAGCTCTGCTTTAAAACCAGGGTACACATTCAACGCGACTCCAGGCTAAATTTTGGGCGGCATGTTTGCGGGAACTGCTGATTGGTTGACGAGTAGCGAATAAATAGTTGAGAATGGGCGAGCATGGGGCTTTTCGTCCGTGAGAGATGAGGCTTGGCAGGGGAGAAATTGATAACACTTGGATCTAGAAATTGGGGATCAAGGGGAGGGCAACTGGGTTGGCGGAAAGGGGAAAGGGGGTGAGACGATATTGTGGGGGAAGGGGAAACAATTTCGGTGGGAGCGGAATAGGTATGGGGAGGGGGGAAACGAATTGGCGGAAGCACATTCGATGACTTCGGTTTACATTTGCCAAATCTCGAGGGTTCAAATGTTCACCTGCTGAAGCGAACACTCCCCCCAGATATTCCTAAACCACTGAGTAACCCCGAGGTCAAAGGTTAACCTTTGACAGAAATCCAATTGAATGTGCACCCTGGTTTTAAAGCTTTCGTATACATTTGCAAGTACTGTTCACGGTTGCACAGTATCCCAAAAAAATTCGCTCAAACGAAACCAAATGAGGGTGGCGAGAGGTTTTGCGAAAACTTGCACCTTTGAGGGTTCCAAACACGGGAAACTCCCCCGTCACCCAACCTTGCAGTGACTCACCAGCCGAAGCATAGATAGAGGAACCGAGGCTAGCGGTTTGCATCACGACGCTGGGTCGCCGCACTCGAGTAAGCCGTCACGCGATTGATAATTTAGGGGCCGTGTTCACTGAGCGGATGCGCGTTTCATGCGTTGGCCACGCCGCCACTCTCAACACTCGCTAGGTAGGCCTCTCCCGCTTGGCTCCTCACCCGCTGCGCGCCTTTCCCACTTAGCGCCTCACCCGATGCGCACCATGGCCCTTTATCGCCGAACCCGCTGCGGCGCCTCAGCCCTTAGGGCGTGTGACATTTTTCCTTTGTTTTGTCCGGACGTCCAGCCGTTCGGACGGTTGTGTGGTTACCAGAATCCTTCCAGCTCGCCAGCTAGCTCGTCCAGAATCGAAACGACGTCGTATGTGTCGCCTCGCGTCCTTACCACGTCGCAGGGTACGGGAGAAGCAGGGTGAAAGAGGGAAAGGGAGATAGGGAAAAAGGGAAGCAGCGCGGGTAGAAAGAGGGAAGAAGGGTGTAGGGAAGATAGGGGAAAGGGGAAAGCAGGGCGTAAGGCAGAGAAGAGAGAGGGGGAAGCAGGGTGTAGGGAAGAGAGGGAAATGGGGTTTAGCAGGATATAAGGGGGAGAACGCATGGTGGGAGAAGAAGGGTGTGGAGTAGAGAGGGGAAAGGTGGAAGAAGGGAGTAAGGCAGAGTGGAGAATAAAACAAGAGGGGTGTAAGACAGAGAGGGGAAAGGAGGTAGAAGGGTATAAGGCAGAGAGCGGAGAGGGGAATGAAGGGTGTAGGGACGAGAGAGTAAAGGGGGAAGCAGGGCGTAGGAAGAGAGGAGCTAAGAGGGAGAAAGGGGGTAGGTGAGCTTGAGAAGGGGGGGGGGGGGGGGGGGGATGAGACGGAGAATGGGGAAAAATGAGAAGGAGAAAGGTGGGACATGAGAGGGGGGAGGGGGGTAGACGAGAGGGGGAAGGGGGGAATCGAGAGGGAGAAGGTGGAGAAACGAGAGGGAGACGGGGAGGCGGGTAGGGAAAACGAGGGGGCGAGAAGGGGAAACGGGGAGGCGGGGAGGGATAATGGGGAGCGGGAAGGGGAAACGGGAAGGTGGGATGGGGAAACGGGGAGCGAGAAGGGGAAACGGGGAGCGGGAAGGGGAAACGGGGAGCGGGAAGGGGAAACGGGGAGGTGGGAAGGGGTAATGGGGACCGTGAAGGGGAAACGCGAATGTGGGAGAGCGGGAATGCGAAACGGGGAGGCGGGAAGGGGAAATGGGGTGCGGGAAGGGGAAACGCAAATGTGTGAAGGGGATACCGGGAGCGGGAATGGGAATCGGGGAGGCGGAAAGGGGAAATGCGCGGCGGGAAGGAAAACCGGGGAGGCGGGAAGGGGTAATCATGACACGGGAAGGGGAATTGCGGTGGAGGAAAGGGGAATTGGGGATGCGGGAAGGCAAGGGGAAATGGGGAAAGAGGGAAGGGAAGATCGGAACAGGGAGGCAAGAAAGGGAGATCGGAAGGCAGAAAGTGGGAATTCGGAGGCACTAACGCGAGATACGGAGCCACGCAGGCGAAATAGGGAGGCGAAAAGGGGAGATGGGAAGGCGCTGGGAAGGGGAGAAGAATTGGCTGGTCAAGGAGACCGTTTCGGCAGTCCGTCGCGACCTCAAGTGCGGCTGCCGTGGCTAGTGCGGAAACGGGGTAACAAAGCTGCGCGAGCGGGAGGCGACTGTGATCGTGCGAGATCCCGCTGTTCGGCAGTTTCAGATGCAGCGTGCGTGTTCAAGGAGGTGTGAGGAGGCAGCGAGGTGAGGCGATGCGACGCCGCGACGGACAACGAGGCGAGGCTAATGAAAGGAGGTCCGTTGTGATCGGCTCGGCGAGGTGACTAGAACCGGCGCCGGCTAGGCCACAAGCAGCGGTTTGATGCGGCGCGACGAGAGTGGAGGTGGAGGGATGCCGCGTTTGAAAGCTAGCGGGCGCGGCTAGTGCTATTTCAATGTCGAACGCGTGTGATGCGGGAGAGGCGAGTGTGAGAGGGCGGAACTGGCGTTGGTGCGGACGCGTAATGACTCTATACGTCTAGTTACGTCGCTGTTTGTGTCGGAAACGGGGTTCTTTGCGCTGGTTGTTGAATCGCGATCTGCTTATCTACGTAGTTTTCGGCCTATCGTGCGTAGTGGCCTAGTTCTGAGAAACATGGTAATTTGTATCCTTTTGTTGTTTCAAAAGTTTTGAACCAGCAGTCAGAGGAGATGGTGCGGGGTGTCGGGGGGATCATCTCCCTTGTGGGACGACGGAAATGACCTGTAATAGGGTAACCAGTTTTCAAATTTCTAAACTTCTGAAACTCCCACTTTCAAATGTATACGAAAGCTTTAAGTTGTCAATACACACTTCAGCAATTTCCAGAATCTGATTGGTTTCAATGTTGTCAATGTTGTGATTTCCAGAATGAGTACAAGCAGTTTTATAGGCATGCAAGACACAAAATGCGATTCGTAACTTCACTTGTTTCCCAAGTAATCGCGTGCGCCTCGTTTCACCCCGAGTCGCACACGGAACCGAACCGAATTCGGTGAACACTCCTCAAGACCGAATCTGGAACCTTCTCGAACGCGCCTTGGTCTCAGACCACAATTTCCCCCGTCGATCTCATCCTCGATGCTTCTCCTTCTCTCTTCCTCCATTTCTTTGGTTCCTTCTCGATTTCTCTCCCGCTTCTCACGCCGTAGGCTGATTTCCACCGTTTCACCTAGAATCATCCACGCGCTTCCATTTCGCCGTCATTCCGCCGTCGTAGAGACTTTCGCCATAGGTTCCGTGGTTGGGCGAACCAACCCTAACATAGGCGTTAGCGCCAACGCTAAGGCCGGCTGAACGGGGTGACGCAGAGAGCGTTGAGCACGACCCCATAATCCGCCCGGTTCGTTGGCAAGCAGCACGACGCGTCGTATTATAGTAGCCGAACGCGAAACATCGCGGCGGTGAACGCGGAGCAGGAAGGGGGGATTGGAGTGCGTCGATTAGGTTTAGAAGGTGCGAACTTCTAGTGCCTGTGTTTTGGAAGCTCTGTGTCGAGTGAAGTATGGCTCTCGTGAGAGTCAGAGATATTGGTCTACAAACTCAATCGGTGAGTCAAGTTCTAATCTGAACCCCGAGGCCCCCCCCCCTTCCTTCCGCGTCGATTGTTGGGTTTTCCGCAGGGGTCCGCGACACAAAAAGTAACCCTGTTTTCAAGTGATAAACCATCCCTCCCCGCTCAAAGTATGTAGACCGCAGCTTTAAGTACTTGACTGAGCAGGGCGCTAAGGTCCTCCTTGCAACTCAGCTGGTGAGCCCCCCCCCCGGAGTCCGAAGAACCTGCTAAGGCCATTTGCTACAAACGACGAGTCACCGTGTTGCTGATATATTTGTTCATCTACGTCCTTTTTTATACGATAATTGATATATACACTGAGGAAAGCAAGTGTACAGTATCAAAATCAGTCGGAACTTGTGCGTGAGGGACAGAAGCGGATCTGCGTTTTTCATCCTCGTTCATTTTATTCCCACCCCTTCAATTTTTTTTTCATATATATAATGTCATTCTTTCATGATTCATTTTTGTTCTTACGATTCATCTTAGTCCATTCTTTCATGATTCGTCCTTATTCAGGTTTTCATTAATAATCCTCGTTCCTAAGATCAATCCTCGTTCATTCTTTCACGATCCATCCTCGTCCATTCTCCAATGATTCATCCTCGTTCATTCTTCCATGATTCGTCATCATTCTTACTTTCATCGTTCAGAACTGTAAGTCCGAGAACCTCAGTGTCGCACTTATCGTTCCTCGACTCTCGGAGCTCCTCGGTCAGGAGGTCAGTACTCTCTCCGTTTTTCGTAATGCATTTCATTGTACTATCATAACACTCTTAATTCGAGAATCTCCGTGTCGCACTAATCGTTCCTCGGCTCTAGGAGCTTCTCGGTCAGGAGATCAGTCTTTCAAGGCTACTCTTGGATAGCCTTGCCTATAATCTCTCTCTTTCCGTGTAAAGGTTCCGCTGGTGCATTCCGTAACATCGTAACCATGCATTTACGCTGGTTCATGACAATACAACTAACTTGACATGTCATTTTATGAGTCTTTTTGCTTGCCGATATGTACAGATGAGCCGTCGCTTTCGTCGTCTCGTTCCCCACTACCCTGGTTTAGTAAACCGATATAACATAATATTGTCCGCATGTGCAGGTGAAGACGGTCAACGACTGCGTCGGCGAGGCCGTTACCAATGCCGTCGCGAATCTCGCGGAGGGTGAAATTCTGCTGCTCGAGAACCTGCTTTTCCATGCTGGGGAGAAGGCGAACGACGCCGATTTCGCGCAGCAGCTTGCGGCCAACGCGGACCTCTATGTCAACGAAGCGCTGAGACTGGCGAGCGATGAACACGCGTCCACGGTCGCCGTGACCAAGTATACCAAGTCCGTTGCTGGGCTCGCGCTAGCGAAGGTACGACGGAACTGTCTTGGTATCGCCGGTTAACGAAGCGCTGAGGCTGGCGAGCAATGAACACGCTTCGACAGTGGCCGTGACGAAATTCTCCAAGTCCGTTGCTGGCCTCGCGCTGGCCAAGGTAAGCTTTCATGTCAGGTTTAGCTCAAGAGGTGAGTTCAGTTGCCTTGCCATGACCATGCTGCTTCCCCACTCGCCATGATAACCCGACACTCACCTGATCTGTGTACTCGTTATTGACTTGTTCAGGAGCTGGACTATTTGGTTGGAACCATCTCTGCGCCCCAGCGGCCGATGATGGCCGTCGTGGGTGGATCTAGGCTTTCCTCCAAGATTACCTTGCTGGAGAGTCTTCTTGACAAGTACGTTGACCGTCTCTGATCGCGTTGAGATGATTCCGTGCATTGCTTTCGAAGGTTCGATGATGACCGTCTTGGGTAGATCCAAGTTTACCCTCAAGCATTTCTTGCTGGGGTAGCTCCTTGGCAAGTATGTTAACCGTTCATTGCTGACTAAGGGTGTCAAGTCAACCTGCTGCTTCCGGTCTCTGAATTCCTTCACCTCGTTTCAGCTCTTGTCCACCTACCTACCCACCACCTTCCCCAACTCTCAAATCCCCCTTCCAGATGCGATGTCATTCTGCTGGGCGGCGGCTTGATCTTTACGTTCTACAAGGCGCAAGGCTTATCGATCGGAAGCTCGACCTGCGAGGAGTCTCAGATTGGCCTGGCGGCCAGTTTCCTTGAGAAGGCGAAGGCAAAGGGCGTGGAGGTGGTCTTGCCCACAGACGTCAATATCGCCGATAAATTCGACGCCAATGCCAACACCCAGGTGAGAGAGGCTACTTTCGAGGTCCCAGATTAGCCTGGCGGCCAGTTTCATGGAGAAGGCGCGAGCCAAGGGCGTGCAGGTGGTCTTGCCCACAGACGTCAATATCGCCGATAAATTCAACGCCAATTCCAACACCCAGGTGAGGCTACCATGGCTCGGAATTATAGCATTAGGGTGATAGACGGGGTCTGAGAATGCGCTGTGAGGAGGTTGGAAGGGTGGAAGGGAATTAGGTCGTGCTGCTGGTGCTTCTTTTGCTGCTTCCATTGATTCTGCTGATCCTGCTATGCCCGGTTCTTCCGCTGCTGCGGCTACTGCTATCGGCGGTTTAAGCGCAGCGCAGGTACCATACCAGACGGCTGGATTGGTCTGGAAAACATCCATCACGGCGTCTTTGCTGGTTCCGGATCATTGCAGGGCAAGCCTATTCAGCCTAGTTGATTCAAGTGTGTGTCGCTCCTCCCTCTCCTCCCGTTGTCGTCGTCAGATGGTGCCAATAACAGCCATTCAGGACGGCTGGATGGGTCTGGACCTCGGAGATGACACTATCAAGTCGTTTTCTTATAAGCTCTCTGATGCCAAGACCATATTCTGGAACGGCACCATGGGTGTCAACGAATTTCATAAATTTGCGGGTGGAACCAATGTGAGTCATGCAACCAATTAGGGTCATGGGACCCGGTATTGTCAATGCAGCCGGTGAGAAATGCTGATTGCAGCCTAATGGTGCAGCCTTGTGGGTACTATGGTTGTCACTCACCAAATTGACTTGCTGTTGAAAAACGTGATGTTCATGTTAAGCCAGAGTCACCATCTATTAGCCCTCGTCCCATCATCACTCCCCTTCTGCCTTCCGTTCCCATCCATTGTCTCATCAAAAGTGAATGATTGAATTGCTTGTACCACTCCCTGCTCATTTTTCTCTGTCTAATGCAGGCCATGATTTCGAAGCTCGCAGAAATGACAGAACGTGGTGCCACGACCATCATCCTAGGCCGTGACACGGTGGCAGCAGTGGAACAAGCAGGACTGGCTGGCAAGATGACCCATGTGTCTACAGGTGACACCGCGGGATTGGATCTGGTGGAGGGTAAAGTGCTCCCTGGCGTGGCTGCCCTTGACGATGCATGAATAAATGGGGCCAGGAGGCATGAATGAGGGAGAAAATGTGCTGCTTATGGATACGCCGAGGGTAACTTTGTGGAGGGAGGAATGTTTGCACATCTGGAGGTGCTGACAGCATGTGAACTTTGAAGTACTGCTGCAAGTTTTGGTGTGCTATGTTTACACAGCGATGCACATTGAGCTGTTGAAGTGAATTGAGGCTAGTGACGACAGGTCCAACTGAAAGTGGAGGTTAGCCTAATAGAAAGGCATCAAGGCATTGCAAATGGAGGGGTTAGGTAGGGTATATACCTCTATCTGGTTGGGTCCTAACAAGATTGACCAAATTAGGTGGTGAATACTGAAAGCCCAAGATGTCCACCCAACACAATGCATGTAAAGCTAGTTACGATAAGGCTGGAGAGTGGGACGAAAGTGTCCATGCTTCAAATGAACAGTGCTGTGCGCAGTATGGAGGATGAAGAGAAAGAAACTTTATTCTCCTTGAGCAACTTGATAAGTTATAGCGGGTTAATTTTGATGCTTTAAACAGATGGTACCGTATAAACAGATTGCAAACTGTAACTGCTTCGCCGAATCGCTGACGACCTTGACGAAACAAGCGAGAGCCTTCGCGAGTCAAGCCAAGTCCGTCCATTTTATCCCACGGGCCCACTTGTTCTGTTATGCAGAAGCCGCGCACCTCAATGAGCGCCGCAGCACGTGCGTCCTGCCAGACAGCCAGGCCGTTACGCGCGGAACCACTTTGGTATCGCGCGGAGAAAACCAGTGCACCGCAGGGCAGGCGCAGATTTCACTGGAACGGGGGGCGCTTTGGCGGAAACAAACACAGCGGGAATGGCACACAACGAGTTCCGCGCCTCGTCTCGTCTCCTCGCCTCGTCAGCCCTTTTCGTCTCGTCTGAGTCGTCTTCCCTATCCCCCAGATATTGGTTTCGCGCCATATTGCCGTATAACAGTGTTCGTATTCCCTACTAATCCTACACAACCGTCTGATTGCTTTATTGAACCCTGTTGAACCGATACAGAAGTCACGTAACCGTATCAGACTAGTCCAATGCAAGTAATTTGATGCGTCAGAAAAGTGTAGTTTGGCTGTCAGCTTGCTTGTCAGTTGGGCTTGGGTTGTGTGGTAGAAAAGTGCAGTTGTTAGCCATGAGGGAGGACACGAGTACTGTATTGTTGTGACAGCAACATTGACCTACCGTAATCAACGGAGTTATCAATGCCTTGCTGTCTTGCTGCGCTGCGTGAGTTAGAAATGCGCTGAGAGACAACGTAAGTGAAACAGGGTGGGAGAATGTCCTTGCGCAGCGTGAGTTAGGACTGCATACCTATTTCGCCCCGTCAATATTTCAAGCGTCTGTATTTCAAATATTAACGACGGTAGAAAGTTCACCGCCAAAGTTCACCGAGGCGGCTAGTTTTCCCGCATTATGGGGCGTATGCAAATAACCGTGTGGAGTGGACCGCCGTAGAACCTAATCCCACCAATTTCCTTCTACCTGGTCGTTAGCTCTTTGCTCCTCGCAATCCTCTCCCCGCATTGTCAGCAGCGGAAGCAGTCACTCTTTGTTTAAGAGTTCCTAACTAGTCTACCATTACTTGCGTTAGCGGCCAAGGTTCAATGCTCTTTGTCCGTCACTTGACGCTGGACACTAGCTTAGGGAGGCTCGTTCAGTCCGAGCGACCTGTTGCTGTAACGACATTCGCGTCTGCGTCTCCTTGCCGCCTTTCGTCCGAGTTACCGCTGTCGCCTCTGTTCGTTAATGTCGCCGTCGTGAGCATTTCCCGAGACGCCCGCGACATTAGTACGCATCCATTCTAAGAAATAGCTCCGCAGGTTAGTTAAATACGTCCCCGTTATAGTACGGATCAGTAGCTCTTTTTAACGAGTCCACGAAAGGCAAGAGCGCGTCGCTAGACGACCGAAGCATCAACAGCTATCGTCGCTGTCGCTTATGTCGCTAACTTCGCGAACGTCGTTAATGTCGCCATTGCCAGCGTAACCATGACCCTAGACGACCACAACATCAGCAGCTGTCGTTTCGCCTCGTGTAACACCTCGTTCGCCTCAGATCGCGGCGGGGACGGCGGGGATCAGGCCCTGGAAATCCAACGGTCAGGAACGTCCCCTGTGATGGAGGGGGAAGAAGCGGAGAGAGGCCAGGAAATTAGGGTTTCTGCTGCCGCTACTAGCGAAATGATAGAAGATCCTGTAGCAAAAAGTCTTTCCGATTCGAGACGGGACAGCAGCAGCCATGAAGAGCTCGTACGCAATGCCAACGCTTCGTTACCAGAGGTAAGAGTGTTACTCAAGTGTGCTGGTAAACTCAAACCTTGATGAATTATTATCCAGTGAGTTAGCGACAGGAATTTCCCGCTCTTAATCTTCTTCCTTCCCTCCTTTTTCTGAACCATTCTCCTCGTCCTCCCTTTACCGTCGGTGCTCCTTCCCATCGAACCCTAACCAGCTTCCACCGAACTTGCCCTTCCAATACTGCTGCCCCTCTAGCTATGAGCCAAGATCCTCCCTTTCCCGTCGGTGCTCCTTCCCATCGAACCCTAACCAGCTTCCACCGAACTTGCCCTTCCAATACTGCTGCCCCTCTAGCTATGAGCCAAGATCCTCCCTTTCCCGTCGGTCCTCATTCCCATCGAACCCTAACCAGCTTCTACCGAACTTGCCCTTCCATCCTATCCTGCCCCCCGTCCGTCCCCCCAGCTGCTGCGCGCCGTTTCGCGCCACACCCGGCGCCAGGCGGACGCCGTCCTGCCCGCCCTCATCTCCTTCCCCCGTCCCTCCCCCACTCCCCATTACTCCCCATTACTCCCCCACCCCCCCTCTCCACAGCTGCTACGCGCCTTGTTGCGCCACCCAGGCGCCAGGCGGACACGTCCTTCCCGCCCTCACCTCCTTCCCCTCTCCCTCCCCCCCCAACCCCTCTTCCCCCATTCCCCCCCCCAGCTGTTGCGCGCCTGCTCGCGCCACCCCCGGCGCCAGGCGGACGCCGTCCTGCCCGCCCTCTCGCGCCTGCTGGACCTCCAAGCGCGCCTGCGCGCCCTCATCTCCTCCCCTCCGTGTCTCCCCCCACCCCTACACTCCCCGCCCCTCCCCTCCCCCCCCAGCTGCTGCGCGCCTGCTCGCGCCACCCCAGGCGTCAGGCGGACGCCGTCCTGCCCGCCCTCTCGCGCCTGCTGGACCTCCAAGCGCGCCTGCGCGCCCTCATCTCCTCCCCTCCGTGTCTCCCCCCACCCCTACACTCCCCGCCCCCCCCCCCCCCCCCCCCCCCCCAGCTGCTGCGCGCCTGCTCGCGCCACCCCAGGCGTCAGGCGGACGCCGTCCTGCCCGCCCTCTCGCGCCTGCTGGACCTCCAAGCGCGCCTCACAGCCGCGCGCGTCCCCCTCGGGGGAGCCCCGCGCGCAGAAGGGGGAACTCAGGGGACTGAGAGAGCCGAGGGAACTGAGGGCGCGGAAGAGAGTGCAGGAGGGGGAGGGGGGAGGGGTGAGGCAGGTAGGGAAGGAGGGGGAGGTGCAGCAGCAGGGGAAACGTCACTAGCGGCAGCACCAGCAGCACCGCTAGCAGCAGCAGCACCAGCAGCACCGCTCGCAGCATCAGCAGCATCAGCAGCATCAGCAGCAGCAGCGCCACCACCAGAGTTGTCGCCGTGGCAGCAGTTGGAAGAGCAACTTTCTATGGACGAACTGGATAAAAGCCTAGCAAGTCAAACCGGTCAAACAAGTCAAACCGGTCAAACCGAGTCTGCCAGTCAAGCAAGTCAAGCGAGTCAAACCCCAGAAGGGTCCCTACTCGAGATTCAGAGCCTCCTGTCCCGCATAGACGCGCCACTCTCTCACGCCCTAGACCTGCTCGAGCAAGAATTCACAACCGTTCTATCCAAATCCAACCGGAAACTCAACCTCCACATTCTTAAAGCCGCACTGCACATGCAGAATCTGGCGATTCTCCCCAGCCCGAGAACCCGAGGAGGAGGGGCGGGAGCAGGCGCAGGTGGGAGCGGGGCAGGTTTCGGGGCAGGGGCAGGGGGGAACCGCCGGGGCGGGTCGTTTTCGGTTACAGGGAATTTGTTTTCCAAGGGGTTGGGGGAGGAGGAAGGGAGTGGGGGGAAGTTCACCCCGTCTGGAGCTCGCCCTCCCCCCTCGCCTTCCTCCCCTGCTAACAAGCAGCATGGGAGAGCGGCGAGCCAGTTTCTGTTTGACGATCCGATGCTGATCGAGTACAACGCGTCGCTGTCCGCCCGAGCCTCCTCGCCGCTAGGCTCGGGCCGAGCCTCCGGGGCAGGCTCGGACGGTGGGGTTGCGGGCGGTGGGGTGGGGGGGAGTGCGGTTGTGAGCGGTGGGGCTGGTCCGTCTCTGTTGTCTCCCATGGGTGGCGGGACTGGCTCGTCTTTGTTGTCTCCTGTGGGTTGTTCTACCCCTCAATCCACGCTCTCTGATGCTGTGCTGACGGCTATGGCTAGCAGCAGCACGAACACGAGCAGCAGCAGCATTGCTGCCGTGAGTGGGCCGTTGGAGAGCTTGTTTATTGGGTCGGATGTGGCAGGAGCGGTGGGGGCAGGTGCTGCTGCTGCTGGTGGCGGCAGTGGTGGTGGGGATGGCGGCAGCGGCAGCAGTGGCGGTGTTGGTGGTGGTGGGAGTGGTGGTGGTGGTAACGGTGGCAGTGGTATTAGCGAGAGCAGAAGTGTTGATGGAGTTAGCAGCATTGGCGTGGTTGATGGAGGAGGGGGTGTGATGAAATCTCGATCCGCCACCCAGCCAACTCTGCTGTGCTCTTCCTCCTTCCCTCTCCAAGAAAACAAGCTCGGAATTATGTCGTCTAATTCCTTATCCCTGCCCCGATCTGCTGCTGCTAGTGCTGCTGGGGATGGAGAGGTTACGACTCCCCTCCCTAGAATCACCATTCCCCAGGTTTATTCTGATGGGTCGGGGTGTACTCCCACCGGTATAGTCACACCCACTTTTGGAGCAGCTGCTGCTGCTTCTGGTGGAGCTGCTGGCGCTGCTGCTGCTGGTGCAGGTGCTGCCGTGGCTGCAGTAGCAGCAGCAGAAACAGTCCCAGAAGCAGCAGTAGGAGCAGCAGCAGGAGCAGCAGGAGGAGTGGTGGTAGAGGGAAATGGAGAGGAAAAGGCGACTGCTGCTGCAGCAGGGGATGCAGCTGAGGCGAGTCAGCAGCAGCAAGGGGGCGAGGGTAGCAGCAGTACTCTTACTGAAGCTGCTGCTCAGACTGGCGCTGCTGCTGGCACTGTCGCTGCTGCTACTGCTGCTGCAGCTGGTTGTGCTGGCACCACTGCTGCTGGCTCTGGTGGTGGAATTGGAATTCTGCTGGGGAAGGGAGCTGCTGCAGGAGCAGCCGCAGGAACAGCAGCAGCAGCAGCAGGAGGAACAGCGGCAGCAGGAGCAGCGATATGCAAGGAGCTACAGGCAGTGGGCGAGTGGGCGGAGTGGTTGCCGGTGGCAGAGGTGCCGTGGCTCAGTAGGGCGGCGGCTGTGGTCATCCGCGCGCGAGGGAAGCAGCACTTTGCTGCGCTCTACTGGTGAGTCCGTGCGCGGGGTGGCAGGTGAGGTGGGCTGGGATTGACTGGGCGACTGGGCGACTGGGCGAGTGGGCGAGTGGGCGAGTGGGCGGAGTGGTTGCCGGTGGCAGAGGTGCCGTGGCTCAGCAGGGCGGCTGCTGTGGTCATCCGAGCGCGAGGGAAGCAGCACTTTGCTGCGCTCTACTGGTGAGTCCGTGCGTGGGGTGGCAGGTGAGGTGGGCTGGGATTGAGTGGGCAAGTGGGCGAGTGGGCGAGTGTGGCAACGGTGGCAAGTGCAGTGGAGAGTGCGAGCATGAAGGAGTACACAGCAGAGGAGACGCAGGCCATGGCGCGGGAGGGTGTGACAGGGCATAGCATGGCATGTCTATAACCCCTCCCTTGTGCCTCACTTAAGTGTTTTTGCAGCAAGGCGCGCCAAGCAACAGTGGAGAGTGCGAGCATGAAGAGTGCGAGCATGAAGAGTGCGAGCATGATGAGTGCGAGCATGAAGAGTGCGAGCATGAAGAGTGCGAGCATGATGAGTGCGAGCATGAAGAGTGCGAGCATGAAGAGTGCGAGCATGAAGAGTGCGAGCATGAAGAGTGCGAGCATGAAGAGTGCGAGCATGAAGAGTGCGAGCATGAAGAGTGCGAGCATGAAGAGTGCGAGCATGATGAGTGCGAGCATGAAGAGTGCGAGCATGAAGAGTGCGAGCATGAAGAGTGCGAGCATGAAGAGTGCGAGCATGAAGAGTGCGAGCATGAAGAGTGCGAGCATGAAGGAGTACACAGCAGAGGAGACGCAGGCCATGGCATGGCATGGCATGGCTAAACCACTCGTTATGTCCCTCCTGCCCTCTATCCGCGTGCAGTGAGTCGAGTTTTGAGTCGACTCAAAACTCGACTCACTACACGAGCATGGCATGGCTAAACCACTCGTTATGTCCCTCCTGCCCTCTCTATCTGCCCCTGTGCAGCAAGGCGAGGCAGGCAACGGTGGCGAGTGCGGTGGAAAGTGTGAGCATGAGAGAGTACACAGCAGAGGAGACGCAGGCCATGGCGTGTGTTGTGTGGGGCATGCCATGGTGTGGCAGGTTTATAACCCTTCCCTCCATGCCCTTTGTGTCTCTTTGACTGTCTTCCTCTTCCCTTGCGTCGATTTTTTAGTCGACTCAAAAATCGACTCACCCTTTGTGTCTCTTTGACTGTCTTCCTCTTCCCTTGCGCCCCTGGCAGCAAGGCGCGCCAAGCAACGGTGGCGAGTGCGGTAGAGAGTGTGAGCATGAAAGAATATACCGCAGAGGAGTGGGGAGGGCAATCCCATGCCGTGCCTTTCACCCCTGCTTTCCTTCATGCTGTTGCAACTCCCCGTACCCACTCACTCTGTGCAGCAAGGCGCGCCAAGCAACGGTGGCGAGTGCGGTGGAGAGTGTGAGCATGAAAGAATATACCGCAGAGGAGACACAGGCCATGGCGTGGACGGAACTGGAGCCGCTGATCAAGCTGTGGATCAGAGATATCAGCATTCTGGTGAGTGAGACATGGGATCACGTGCATGGAAGTGCACTGCACAGGAGGAGGTGCGACCATACTGGGGAAACAGGGGCAATGCATTGCACGGGAGCAAGGATGGGTGGGGTGCAGTGATGAGCAGAGGAGACGCAGGCCATGGCGTGGGCGGATCTAGAGCCGCTGATCAAGCTGTGGATCAGAGACATCAGCATCCTGGTGAGTGGGCGGCACATGGGAGGGCACATGGGAGGGCACATGGTGGGGCACATGGGAGGGCACATGGTGATCGCATGCAGTGCACTGGCATGGAGTGAGAGAGAGGCACAGGATGGTCATCAGGGATTTGCACATTGGAGGAGACGCAGGCCATGGCATGGGCGGATCTAGAGCCGCTGATCAAGCTGTGGATCAGAGACATCAGCATTTTGATAAGTGGGAGGCACATGGGGATCCTAGTGAGGAGAGGAGACACAGGTGATGGCATGGCGTGGACGGATCTAGAGCCGCTGATCAAGCTGTGGATCAGAGACATCAGCATACTGGTGAGTGAGAGACCTGAGCATCTTGGTGAGTGAGAGGCACATGAAGCGATGGTATGTTCACATGCATTGCGTAAACAGAGATGTTTTGAGACGTCTCAAAACATCTCTGTTTACACGAGGCACATGAAGCGATGGTATGTTCACATGCATTGCAGTGCACTGCACCAGCAAGGGGAGGGAGAGGGCCGGGGATGGGGGGGAGAAAGGGGGTTGGGAGGGGTTCACCTTCACAGTGGGGCCATGTGTTTCTCAGAAGAGTGTTGAGTGTATTTTTGAGGCGCCTCAAAAATAGAAAGGGGGGTGGGAGGGGTTCACACACAGTTGGGCCATGTGTTGCTCAAAAGAGTGGTGAGTGTAGTTTTGAGGCGCCTCAAAAATAGAAAGGGGGTTGGGAGGGGTTCATTCAGTGGGGCCATGTGTTTCTCAGTAGAGTGTTGAGTGTATTTTTTAGGCGCCTCAAAAATAGGTTCACACAGTGGGGCCATGTGTTTCTCGAAAGAGTGTTGAGTGAAGCTGCGATGAAAGTTCTCCTCCCTCTTCTCACCCTCTTCCTCCCACCCCCGTGACCCCGTCCATCTGTTTACTTTGCCTCCCCCCCACCAGCTGCGTGTTCTCTTCTTCAGTGAGCATCAGCTCATCAAGGGCGTTCTTGACGCCTCTCCACCCACCAGCCATAGCAGCGGCAGCAGCGGCAATAGCGGCGGCACCGGCACTGCTGTTACCACCGTCACTGCTTTAGCTTCTGCACCCGCCAGTGCTTCGATCTCAGCCGTTCCTGACTCTGGATCGGACCTCCTCTCGCATCCTGACCCCACGTGTGAAACACCTGAAGAAACTCCTGAACCTGATGCTGGTGCGCCGAAGGCCAATGACAGCACGGCCCACAGCTTGCCCAACAGCACGTCCCAGAGCACACCCGAGAACCCACCTGAAGGAGCACCTGAGAGTCCACCTGAGAATCCACCTGGGAGTCCACCTGAGAATACACCTGAGAGCAGCAGCAAGCGTACAGAGCAAATTGCCCGGAAACCTGGGGAGCACTTGATGAGTCCGGACAGCGTGTTTCGGCATCTAGTGGGGTCGGTGGGCGGCGTGAAATCGACCCTGTGTGCACTGTGCGCGAATGCTGCAGCCATTGCGGCCTCTAAGAGCTCCCCTGAGAAGATCTTCGCCCTGCTGGAGGCATACCGCACCGTGGCTGACCTCTCCCCTCAGGTATGTGCATGTGGTAACCAGCTGTTTCAGGTGGTAACCAGCTGACCAGTGAGAAGTGTGGGTGCACTGTGCGCGAATGCTGCAGCCATTGCAGCGTCTAAGAGCGCTCCTGAGAAGATCTTCGCCCTGCTGGAGGCATACTGCACCGTGGCTGACCTCTCCCCCCAGGTTAGTAAGATGTGGTAACCAGCTAACACAGGTGGTAACCAGCTACCAGAGCTGGTAACCAGATGACCTCTCCCTGCAGGGGGGAGGCTCCCTACAGCAGCCGCTGTATCTAAGAGTGCCCCTGAAAAGATATTCGCCCTGCTGGAGGCATACCGCACCGTGGCTGACCTCTCCCCTCAGGTGTGTGCATGTGGTGGGTTACTACAGGTGGTAACCAGATGGTAACCCCAGATGACCTCTCACTGCAGCCCCTGCTGGAGGCATACCGCACTGTCGCTGACCTCTCCCCTCAGGTATGTGGGTTACAAGAGGTGGTAACCAGCCAATTACAACAGGCAGTAAGCAGCCCTTGTTTGTGCCCTCCTCCTCCCCTTTCCCTTCCTGCCCCCTTTTAACAGGCCCTGCCAGTCTTCCTCGCTCTCCCCAAGAGCGATTCAGACGATCCCTTCAAGCTCTGGCAGCGCCTGCCTCTAACATCCCCTGTCTCTTCCTGCTCTTTACCCCTCTCCATCCCCCTTAAACAGGCCCTCCCGGTGTTCCTCGCCCTCCCCAACAGCGACTCAGACGATCCCTTCAAGCTCTGGCAGCGTCTCTCGCAGCTCTTTGCCAGAGCCATCTTTGCCACTCTGGACGACCTCAACCCCCCTCTCTCAACCACCTCCCCCTCTCGTCCTCTCTCCCCCACTCCCGCACTCCTCTTCCCTCCTCTCTCCACCCCCCTCCCTCACTCTTCCCCCCTCCCTTCCCCCCTTGGCAGGCCCTGCCGGTGTTCCTAGCTCTCCCAAAAAGCGACTCAGACGATCCCTTCAAGCTCTGGCAGCGTCTCTCTCAGCTCTTTGCCGGAGCCATCTTTGCCACTCTGGACGAGCGGAATGGCATTTCTTAACCAGCCCCACTTGTTCCCCTCCCCTTCCTCCCCTCCTACCCCTCCCGCTCCCGTTCTCACTCCCCTCTCCTTCCTCACTCTTCGTCCCCGCAGGCCCTTCCCGTCTTCCTCGCTCTCCCCAAGAGCGATTCAGACGATCCCTTCAAGCTCTGGCAGCGCCTCTCCCAGCTCTTTGCGGGAGCCATCTTTGCCACTCTCGATGATCTCAACCGCATTCTCAGGGACGTGGCAGCGTTCGTGCCGGCCAACCAGGCCAGTGGCAGCTCTCCCATGAAGAAGAAGCTGCTCAGGTGAGAGGAGAGGGTGGATGCAATGCAAGGGAAGTGAGCAGAGGTTAGGGTGTGAAGGACGGCTGTATTCTCAGAACCTCAGGGACGTAGGGGCGTTTGCGCCGGAGAATCAGGCCAGTGGCAGCTCTCCCATGAAGAAAAAACTGCTCAGGTGAGAGGCGGGTGCGAGATTGACGAGGCCTTTGGGAAGTGAGTTACAGGCAGCCTCCTCAGGGACGTGGCAGCATTCGTGCCGGCCAACCAGGCGTCTGACAGTTCACACATGAAGAAGAAGCTGCTCAGGTGAGAGAAGGTGTGAGATTGAGGGCGTCAAGTCCCTCTGAGGCCATCTTTGCCCCTCTGGACGATCTTAATCACATCCTCAGGGACATGGCAGTGTTTGTGCCAGCCAACCAGGCGTCTGACAGTTCACACATGAAGAAAAAACTGCTCAGGTGAGAGGCGGGTGCGAGATTGACGAGGCCTTTGGGAAGTGAGTTACAGGCAGCCTCCTCAGGGACGTGGCAGCGTTCGTGCCGGCCAACCAGGCTAGTGTTAGCTCTCCCATGAAGAAGATGCTGCTCAGGTGAGAGGCGGGTGCATGCAAGAGGGGAAGTGAGCAGAGGCTAGGGTCTGAGGGGGGATGGCTGGCGTGGGTTTGAGGGGAGGCTAGTGCATCCTCAGAACCTCAGGGGCGTGGGTGGGGGCGTTTGTGCCGTCCAACCAGGCCAGCTCTCCCATGAAGAAGAAGCTGCTCAGGTGAGGGAAGAGGAAAGGAGAGGGTGGATGTAGCAAGGGAAGTGAGCAGAGGCTAGGGTCTGAGAGACGGGCTGTATACTCAGGCTCAGGGACGTGGGGGCGTTTGTGCCGACCCATGAAGAAGAAGCTGCTCAGGTGAGAGGTTGTGGGCTCAACTCGATGCGTAGGAGTGAAGTGGGTATTGGCCGAAGGTTGGGGGCATTGCTTTTTGAGGCGCCTCAAAAGGCAACCGCGTTCTCATCTCAGGGACGTTTCATGATTGTTCATTTATTTGTTTTTTGGTCTGTATTGCTGTCCAAGGGGGTGGACCCAAGAGCCAAAAGATTCATACCTCTAAACCTTAAACCCTAAACCTTCTTTACCTACTGCTTTGCCTCTCGCATACCCCTTATAGGCTAATTCGCTGAAAGTTCTCAGAGAAGAAAACAACCAACGACGAGGTGGTGGATATCGGCGTGCATATATTGACAAGCTACGTGATAAGCCTTCCCCTCTCCCACTGCTTTGCCTCTCACGTACCCTTTATAGGCTGATTCACTGGAAGTCCTCGGAGCAAAAGACTACAAACGACGAGGAGGTGGATATCGGCGTGCATAAAGTAACGAGCTATGTGATTAACTTTATCGCACAACTAATGGACCGGGAAAGCCGTGCGGACCACTATGGAACCCTAGAAATGGTCTACAAAAGGCACGCGGCAGATAAGAGGCTGATAGGCTTGGCGACTATAGGCGGGGCGAGTTTCAGGGAGGGCAGGGGAGGGGGAGGGGGAGGCGGAGGGGGGAAGGGGGGGGGAAGCAGCGGGGGGAGCAAGTCCGGGGGGAGTAAACTGGGAGGGGGAGGGGTGGGGGGAGGGCATAGTGGGAACGGGAGTCACAGCAGTAGAGGCAGTCAGGGAAGCCAGGGCAGTCAAGCAAGTCAAGGAAGTCAAAGCAGTGGTCAAACGAGTCAAGGCGGGAATCAGGGGGGGAACCAGTTGCAGCATCCGAGTGCGGGCGGCAGGCGCCAGCTGGCGGCGGAGATGGAGGGGTTGCTGGATTCGTTGTTATTCAACATGGAGGCGCGAGGGAAAACGACTCAGGACCCTGCGATGGGGGCGCTGTTTGTGTTGAACAACGCGCACTACGTGGCAGGCAGCATGTGAGTACATCATGAGTGCAAAATGTGAGTGTCGCAGCATGTGTGTGAGTATAGGAGAGCACTTTTTGTGATGAACAACGCGCACTATTTGGCTGGCAGCATGTGAGTGGGGGTGGCATGTGGGTTGTGGCGCCAGCTGGCGGCGGAGATGGAGGGGTTTTGGGACGTCTCAATATCTGAGACGTCTCACGAGTCGACTCACGAGTCTCAATATCTCAAGAGTTGTGGCGCCAGCAGCCAGCTGGCGGCGGAGATGGAGGGGTTGCTGGATTCGTTGTTATTCAACATGGAGGCAAGAGGGAAAACGATTCAGGACCCTTCCATGGGGGCGCTGTTTGTGATGAACAACGCGCACTATGTGGCTGGCAGCATGTCAGTGGGGCATGGGGGGCCATGTGAGTGGTGGGTGGCAACCTGCTGTGGGTTCTTCTGCCTCTGATGGAACCCCATTTAGAGGTCATGGTTCAATACGTGGCAGCAAGTTACTTGAGTATGACACCAGAGTAGGTGAAATGTTGGTTTTGCGTAGGAGCACGCTTGTGTAAAATTGATGGTAACCGGTTTCGGCTTGTGAGTGGTGGGTGGCAACCTGCTGTGGGTTCTTCTGCCTCTGACAGGAAACAAACAAGAAAAAACCTTGTGCCCCACGTTGCTCTCCTCTCTTGAGTCAACTCAAAAGTCACCTTGTGCCCCACGTTGCTCTCCTCTCTTTTCCTCTCTCCCCTCCGCCAGTGTTGCAACGAGGATGAAGGACGCACTGAAGCAGCAGGACCGAGTCCATGTGCCTCTGACAGCTGTGCCTTGCACTGCTCCCCTCTCTTCGCCTCTCTTTGCTCTCTTCCTCCCTCCGCCAGTGTTGCAACGAGGATGAAGGACGCACTGAAGCAGCAGGACCGCATCGCAGCGTATGAGGAAGCCTTCGATAAGGCAGGCCTTGCAAAGGTATGTTGAGTGGTGAGAGTGAGACACAGATTGCAACTCACACAGAAATGCTTCTGAAGCAGCAGGACCGCATTGCAGAGTATGAAGCAGCCTTTGATAAGGCAGGCCTTGCAAAGGTATGTTGAGTGGTGAGAGTAATACACAGATTGCAACTCACACAGAAATGCTTCTGAAGCAGCAGGACCGCATTGCAGAGTATGAAGCAGCCTTTGATAAGGCAGGCCTTGCAAAGGTATGTTGAGTGGTGAGAGTAATACACAGATTGCAACTCACACAGAAATGCTTCTGAAGCAGCAGGACCGCATTGCAGAGTATGAAGCAGCCTTTGATAAGGCAGGCCTTGCAAAGGTATGTTGAGTGGTGAGAGTAATACACAGATTGCAACTCACACAGAAATGCTTCGGAAGCAGCAGGACCACATTGCAGAGTATGAAGCAGCCTTTGATAAGGCAGGCCTGGCAAAGGTGTGTTGAGTGGTGAGAGTAATTCACAGATTGCAACTCACACAGAAATGCTTCTGAAGCAGCCTTTGATAAGGCAGGCCTGGCAAAGGTGAGTGCATTTGTGAAGTTAGCGGATGCTGCTGGGAGAGGTTTCCCCCAACAACGCAAAGGATTGCAAAGCGGCTGATGAAGCAGCCTTTGATAAGGCTGGCCTGGCAAAGGTGGGTGCATATGTGAAGTTAGCGGATGCTGCTGGGAGAGGTTTCCCTCTGACTTTTGAGGCGTCTCAAAAGTTGCATTTGTGAAGCTAGCGGATGCTGCTGGGAGAGGTTTCCCACAACGCGAAGGGATTGCATCGCGGCTGATGAAGCAGCTATTGATAAGGCTGGCCTGGCAAAGGTGAGTGCATTTGTGAAGTCAGCGGGTGCTGCTTGCTGGGAGAGGTTTCCCACAACGCAATGGGATTGAATCGCGGCTGATGAAGCAGCTATTGATAAGGCTGGCCTGGCAAAGGTGAGTGCATGTGTGAAGTTAGGGGATGCTGCTGGGAGAGGTTTCCCCCGCTGGGTGTTTTCTAGAGTTCTCCAAAACACTGTGCGGAGTTGAATCTTTTGCTGCCGTCTCATCTTTAGACGGCAAAATATCTCCCTCCCCTCCCTCCATTCCATAAGCTCATGGCATGCTTGGCGCCCGAGCAGGTGTCTGCCAGGCTGAGAGCAGATCTAATCAGTCACTTCTGTTTTTGGTCGTTTCTAAAACAAATTTTCCTGATACCCCTCCCCTCTTTCCCTCCCTCTCTCCCCCTCCCCTCCCTCCCTTCCCACCAGCTCATGGCATGCTTGGCGCCTAAGGAGGTGTCTGCCAAGCTGAGAGCAGATCTAATCAGTCACTTTTGTTTCTGGTCGTTTCTAAAACAAATCTTCCTGACACCCCTCCCCTCTTTCCCTCCCTCTCTCCCCCTCCCCTCCCTCCCTTCCCACCAGTTCATGGCATGCTTGGCGCCTGAGGAGGTGTCTGCCAAGCTGAGCGCGGAATGCAGTCAGTCACTCGTGTGTTGGGCCGTCTCGTTCTCTTTCCCTCTCAAACTTTTCCTCTCTCCCCTCCTCCACCCCTCCATCCCTCCCTTCCCACCAGCTCATGGCATGCTTGGCGCCTGAGGAGGTGTCTGCCAAACCAGGTGCACGATGCAATCAGTCACTTCTGTTTTGGGTCGTCTCAGCAGCACTCCCCTCTCCCGTTCTCTCTACTTTCCCCTCCCTTCCCACCAGCTCATGGCATGCTTGGCGCCTGAGGAGGTGTCTGCCAAACCTGGTGCACGATGCAATCAGTCACTTCTGTTTTGGGTCGTCTCAGCAGCACTCCCCTCTCCCGTTCCCTCTACTTTCCCCTCCCTTCCCACCAGCTCATGGCATGCTTGGCGCCTGAGGAGCTGTCTGCCAAGCTCAGCGCGGATGCTGTCAAAACCAGGTGTGTTGACCCTCCATCCTTGTCTAATACGGTAATACCTGTGTTGACTTTTGCTGACTTGCGTTGACCTGTGCTGTCTTGGACTCCCTTTCTCTCTGGAGCAAGCCGTTGGATGGTGATGAGCAGTGTGAGATTTCAGCCATTGGATGGTGATGAGCAGTGTGAGATTTCAGCGGTTGGATGGTGATGAGCAGTGTGAGATTTCAGCCGTTGTATGGTGATGAGCAGTGTGAGATTTCAACCGTTGGATGGTGATGAGCAGTGGGAGATTTCAGCCGTTGGATGGTGATGAGCAGTGGGAGATTTCAGCCGTTGGATGGTGATGAGCAGTGGGAGATTTCAGCCGTTGGATGGTGATGAGCAGTGTGAGATTTCAGCCGTTGGATGGTGATGAGCCGTTGGTCCGTTGGACTCCCTTTCATTCACTGTCCTTATGTTCAGGCTGAAGAAGAGGTGGCGTTGGAGCAGAACAGCAAGACTTGACTAATGTTTGTATTGACTTGAATTGACTTGTATTGACCACAACTCTCCCTATGTTCAGGCTGAAGAAGTTCAACTCGGCCTTTGAGGAGACATTTGAGTCGACTCAAAAGTCACCTCGTTGGTCCGTTGGACTCCCTTTCATTCACTGTCCTTATGTTCAGGCTGAAGAATTTCAACCGCGTTCGAGGAGGTGGCGTTGGAGCAGAACCGGTGGATCGTGATCAGCGACTCGCAGAGGAAGAAGGCGAGGATCCCGGTTTCTCATGTGTTTGACCTGTGTTGACTTCTCTTTACCCCATCCGACTCCCTTCCTCTCAGGCTCAAAAAGTTTAATTCAGCGTTTGAGGAGGTGGCGTTGGAGCAGAACAGGTGGATCGTGATCAGCGACTCACAGAGGAAGAAGACGAGAATCCGCTTCGCCCGCACGCTCAAGAACGCTTATCTGGAGTTCCTCACACCGCACAGGTAACTGTTGCTGCCTATACACACACATGCACACTGCCTACTCATACATGCACACTGCCTATTCACACATGCACACTGCCTAATCATACATGCACACATACTCACGCTCAAGAACGCTTATCTGGAGTTCCTCACACCGCACAGGTAACTGTTACTTGTGCAAACACACAAACATAAAGAGACAAATACGTACCTACGCACACGCATCCACATACGCACATAAATGCGCCTCAAATGCGCCTACCTTCCCCACCCCTCCTGTCCCCTCCTCTCACCCCTCCTCCCTTTTCCCCTTCCCCCTTCTTCAGGGAGATCATATCGGACATCACGACCTATCAGTGGTCGCCAGATGGCATCGAAAGATTGATGCTCAAGTCCTTCTTCCTCGGCCGCAGCCTCCCACTCATAATGACCGCCTAACGGCCATTCTTCTGTGCTGCTACTGGACTGTCATGTCTCCATACCTCCATACCTCCATGCCTCCACGCCTTCATGCCTCCATACCTTCGAACATGTGATGCTCAAGTCTTTCTTCCTCGGCCAAAGCCTCCCTGTCATCATGACGCTTGAGGGTGATCCACCTTCTATGCTGCCATGCTGCTGCTATGCTGCTGCTATGCTGCTGCTATGCTGCTGCCATGCTGCTGCCATGCACAATACGTGGGCTCAACTTGCCTTCAAGCAACGGCCATACCGCCTATCGTGACCCCGTCACCCCGCCTTCGATGCAGGCTGGTTGTGCTGCCAGCCAGCCAGGCCGCTACGCTATTTCCACTCACTCCATGCTTCTCCATGCCAGCCACTCATAGTTCAACTGCTGTTGATGCCCGGAGGGGAGGAATGTAATTACCAGTAGATTCTTTCAGATTACAGTACAGTTAGTGCCATGCCTCTATGCTCCCCTCCCCCCCCTCCCACCATGCTGCCATGCCTCCATGCTACCACAATCAGGTTTGATGTGCCTGCCATGCCACGGCAACCACCACCTCTCAAACTATTGCATGAAAACTCAAGAGAAAAAAGCTAGGTCATGTAACGGCGATGCAACTACCGTAATCTACAGTACGAACTCCCTGTAGGCTGTGCCATTTCAGTGTTGCAATTTCAGTAACGCATGATGTGTCGCAGGATGGTGGGAAGTTTGTTCTGTCTAGGTGCAACTGTGTGCCCTAGTTCTAGCAGTGTTATTCGCACAGGAGCAGGGGAAGCTGAGTTGCGTGGCACACTGAGTAGCAGCAGGTGCAGCAGCGACAGTGGGGAAGGGAAGAGGAGAACAATGCGACAGTAGCAACCAGAATCGACGCCCTCACATTCCAGGTACGGTAAACTCATATGGTTCAGCCCTTCTTGGACCTTACAGTTGCCTTGAATTCTGTGAAGGAGTAAATTCATACCCTTGAACGCAAGTGAGAATGCATGTATTCATGAAGGACAAAACTACTGTGTACGAACAGGCATACGCGACGCAACAACCATGAGTACACAAGACATGGATGGACAATTGAGTCTCACAGTTAATCAACGCCATAAGTAATGGTACCGTACGTGTACCAACTCAGCCAACCAGGAAGACGGGTAAGCCAGCCTCTAGAATCGCGCAATTTGTCACACCCATCAACATTCAATCTACGTAGCAGCTTCAGCTGTAACAAATCTTCAGAGAGAAACTTTAGCTGTTTGCAATTCTGCAAGTCGAGGAACCGAAGCCTGCTAAGCTGCCCAAAGTTGGAAGGAAGTGACTTGATGCGGCTCCTGCGAACTTGTAGCACACGAAGGAAGGACAGCTGAGTGAGGGAATCAGGGAGACGCATGAGAGCTGGGCAGTTGGGCAAAATTAGCCTGCATAAGCGGGTTAATGTTCCGATGGAATCCGGAAGTGAACGCAGCTTGGGAGCATCTATCTCCAGGTATGTGAGCCGACGGAGAGCTGCAATAGACGCTGAGAGTTCCGTCAATTTAGGTAAGCGTAACTTCAGCTGACGCAACTCCTGTAAAGTGGAGCTGGAAAAGTGTGGAAGCTTCATGATTTCGGTGCTTCCAACTGTCAGGATGCGGAGGCAAGGAAGGTCCGCCAACCTGAATGGAAAGTCTTCCTCAAATGCCAAAACCAAATCCAAGTGCTCCAATGAGGAAAGGCATCTGAACAGTGCAGATGGAAAAATCGCCATGCTCATGCTCGCTCTTTTCAGGTTCGGAAGAGTATACGTATCAGTTAGGTGGATGACCCCATCAGAACCCCCCAAGCTTAGAAATTCCAGCGAGCACGGCAAGAATTCAGGAGCTTTTCTCAGCTTCTCACACCCGGTCAGCTCCAACTGCTTCAGCCTCGCCAGATTGGTCAGATTCTGCGGCACAGAGAAAAGGCTTCCGCACTTGTCAACCACAAGAATCTCCGGGCGCAGAAGGGCTGAAACAGACTCTGGAAGCTTCTGAATCTGCGAGCAGGACAAGATATACAGCTCCCGAATGAGTCTTAACTCCCCCATAGCCTCTGGCAGCTCTGCTAGATCACACTCCTGAAGCTCAAGCCTTGTGAGTGAAGCCAGTTGGGTAAATGAGGACGAAAGCCGGGGACGTGCGCGGTACGGTTTCAGGAAGAAGGTTTCGAGGCTGGGAAGTTGTCCAATGTCGTCAGGAAGGATGAGCAAGGGAGAATCGGCAAGGCAGAGGGTTTTGAGCGACGAGAGAGCGGCCAAAGGGTCTGGTAACTCGACTAATGACGCACATTCTGTAACAATTAGCGTCTGGAGAGACTTGAGCCTACTACATGAGGCAGGAAAGTTGATATCGAGCTTGTGCAGCACAAGCCTTGTCAGATACGGCATCTCTCCGAAGCTGTCAGGCAGCCCAACAAATCTGCAGTTAAAGAGGTTCAAGCTGCGCAGGCACCTCAAGGAGGTGACCTGCTCGGGTTGTTCTGAAAAATTCTGACATTCGCTGATGGTCAGCTCCCGTAGAGATGGCAGCCGATAGTTGATGTCGTCTGGGAGGTTTTGAAGCTCGTCACGGTTGAAGAACGTCAGCCGCTCGAGGCGGCTGCATGGCGAGTCAGGAGGGAACATGAAATCGAACTCTATCCAGCCGGTCCCCAAAGATAGCGACTTAAGAGACGATATATGCGCGAATGAGAAGCGAGGCGTATCATTTACACGTGCGATTAAATCCGGCACGGAAAGGCTCGTGAGGCTTGGGAGCTGAGAGAGGTTCTCTAGGCCCTCGTAATGAAAAACGGGTGCGTTCATGGAAAGAGCTGTGAGAGCGGAGAACACGCGCACGTCTGGAGTCAATATCGCGGAGAGATTGGCGAGCGCGAGAGATCGGAGTCGCACGAGCTGCAAGAACCAATCTGGTGGCCAAAATTCCGGCCAATCCAGCGAAAGATGTTCCAGTCGCGTGCACTGGCGGAAGAGAACATCGAAGCCAGCCTGCGTCAGATGCTCCTCTGCGTCGTCGTGTTGCAAGCCCTGCACTATCCATTTCCCGAGGTGGAAGGCTGTCAGCTTAGGGCAGCACGCAGCGAGGCGAGCGAGGAATGCGTCGTCCATATTATCCATGCTTTTGTCGCTGAGATGGAGGTGCGTGAGGTTAGGGAAGCACGCGACAGCCGTGGCTAGATCCTCGCAGGGGACAACGCGTTTTTCCTTGACGAGGAGCGTGGAGACGTGGCGCTGAGCCAAGCGACGCCAGCGACGGCATGTGGACGCGAGGAGAAGATTGTAAGCCGCGTCGGCGAAAGCTGGAGAAAGAGAAGCGTTTGGAAACACGGTGTCGCCGCTCTGCTGGTAACATGGCTCCTCTTCGTTTTTGCGAATTAATCTAGAGGAAGGCTGCAAGCAGGACCACACCAAGTCGTCGTCAGACCGGCGAGAGGAGAGTCGATTGGAGGGCCAGAAGATAGCTATGAGAAGATCGTCCGAAAGCCTATCGATGTAACACGCCATAGTACCTTAGATGCTAGAAACGACCGCGTATGAAAATGTCTAAGAGATAGTAGCTACAACAGCTCTTGCCTCTGCTCCGTCTTGCTGCTCTCCGCTCTTGGTTGTGAATTTCACCGATCTACCGAAGCACGCTCTGATCTGGTTTCGGCCGAGCAGGGAAGGTGGGCTGCCGATTTCATTCCATTTGTTCCAAACGATGGAAGGTTTCGTTCGTCTGCCTTGGGAGGTCCGCCATCCCGGGTAACCCGAATTCAGATTTGAATTTCGACGATTCGCGTTTGCGGCAGAATGGCGTGCAGTTTCGTAAGGACCCCTCGACCGAGCGAAGAGCTCCGAATCCTCGCCATTAGTGGGGAGATTCGCCGGTTGAAATGTCAGTCACCATACTCTGGTCGCACACACAGCGTGTATGGTGTTCGTTCCGGCACGTGGCGGCGCATGGTTAGTCGAGCGCGTGGCGAAGAGGGACCACAGCTGTAAACCAGCATCGCGTGGATGCTGGTCCTGCGACCGGGTGAGCCATGATGGCGGGCGAACAACTGAACGCGAAAGAGTTGGCGAAAGTAGCTCCCTAGGTGGGAGGAGAGACTTGGAGAATTTGCTGTAAGCAGCAGAGACAGAGCATGCCTGACGGATTCTGGTTCGCTCTGGTTCCGAAGTACCGAACCTCGGAAACAGCTTGGCCGAATGCCAGCCGTCAGATGTCCTCCCTTGGAGGTTCCGTCATCAGATTCGAGTGCTGGTCTGGAATGCTTGGCATTGTGACTCGTGTATTTTCTGCTAGCTTTTCTTTTCCTGCTAACTCCCTACCTCGTGACACCAACTTCAGAAAATCCGCGCTCTTCAACACGACCCTATTGTCAGGATCTAGCACGGTAACGTGGCAGGATGGTGCCACGTGGCAGCACCAAGTCCCCTGGTGCAGGTATAGCGCCGTGGGCCGGAATAGCGGCTGGAACGCTGTTCAAGTAATAAGGCATTCCATCCTGTGCGAGAAGCAGCGCATTCCCGCCATTCAAGTAGTAAGGCATTCCATCCCTGTCCTTTCAGACAAAGCATCCCGTTCCTGTCGTTAGAGTAAGGCCTTTTTTCTCTTCCGATTCAAGTAGGACATTTCGTTCCTTCCCGTTTCAAGTTTTACATTTCCGTCCTACCGTTCCAAGTGAAGCATTTTGTTCATGCCGTCAAATTGAGAGTACATTGAAGGCGTGTTTCTGCCACTTCGTTGCGTTGTACGATTTTTTTTGCCAGAAGATGTATCATTTCTTCCTATTGTTCAAGGCACAATCATTATGAACTCCCCTCTCCCTCCCGTTCCATTACCCTCTCCCCTCCTCCCATGTCCTCCAGTCCTTTCGTTGGTCCCCTATCGCCTCACCCTACCCCAACCAACCTTCCCCTCCCACCTCCTCCGCTTCCCACCCCGACCCGTCCCCCTCGACCAACTGCGCGGCTGTTTTCCTTCCGCGGATGCAACAATGCCGCCAGCAGTATGGGGACATGCTCGGGTTCACTGTGGGGTGACGCTGCACCTCTTTGTAACGGATCCTGCATTAGCGAGGCATGTTCGTTGACGTTGCTATGTTGGATGTGATATAATCTGATGTGCCGTGATTTGATGTGATTTGATGTGATTTGTTGTGATTTGATGTGATGTGATGTGATGTGATGTGATGTGATGTGATGTGATGTGATGTGATGTGATGTGATGTGATGCCCTCGCCCTTCTTCCTCCCTTCGTCCCTCCCCTCTTCCCTCCCCGCTTCCCTTCTCCGCTCATCCTTCCCTTAGTCTTCGTTTGCCATGGCGGATCCGCAGTCCTTCGTTTCCCAGCCTTCACATGACGCATCTCACCCCTGCTCTCTCTCTTCCCGTCCGCCCATGCCTCTACAGCCCCTCCTCATCAGCAGCGGGCGCGTCACCAAGGCACCCGGGGCTCTATTCTTGAGGTGCCTAAGACAATTGACTCCAATTTTGAGGCGCCTCAAAATAGACACCTCTACAGCTCCTCCTCACCAGCAGCGGGCGCGTCACCAAGGCAGGGGGGGGGGCGCAATGGAGCATGCAGCAGTGCGGAGGGGCATGGCCGTGGTGCTGCATGAGAGCCCCCGCATGTGACTTTTGAGTCGACTCAAAAGTCAGTGCTGAGCGGCATGGCCGTCGTGCTGAGATGCTGCATGAGAGTGGGTTTGGCTCGCTACCATCAGAACCAAGCCCCACAGGGTCCCTCATATCTCCTTCATTGGCCGTTCGTGCCAACAGTTAGAGAGAGTGGCTTTGGTGCTGACGGCAAGGGAGTCTAAACGGGGGTGGGGTGATGTCACGTACACAAGGGGGATGTAAATTGACAGGGGGGGTTTGTACGGGCGGAAAGGGGCTTACTGAAATGGTTTCTATCCCTCAACCGAACCCCGCATCGTCTTCATTGACTCTCAATCACGCAGGCAGACTGCCACTCTTCCTCACTCTCTCCTCCTCCTCCTCCTCACCAGACATTCCTCTCCTCTTCCTCACTCTCTCCTCCTCCTCCTCACCAGACATTCCTCTCCTCTTCCTCACTCTCTCCTCCTCCTCCTCCTCCTCACCAGACATTCCTCTCTCCAAGCGTGCAGGCGGGGACCATATGACGTGCGTATGATAAGTCGATTTTTTAGTCAACTCAATCATCAACTCACCCTCTCTCCAGGCGTGCAGGTGGGGACCAAACGACCTGCCCCCGAGCACGGCTTCTGGGACCCTCATGCACTGTAGTTAAACTCTCACCGCTTCACCAGTCAGTCCTTTCTTCGGCGTTGTATTGTGATTGCTAATACAACATTCTCGTGTGTGCTGGCTGTGTCATTCCCATTGTTCCCCACCCCACATTGCTTCAGGCATTTCAGGCGCTTTCAGATGTTTTAGGTGCTTCAGGTGTTTCAGCTGCTTCAGGTGTTTCAGGCACTTCAGGTGTTTCAGGCACTCCAGATGTTTCCACCTGGAGGAGGTTCTGACTGGAGTGTGTCATCAAGGGAGATCTTATAGCGTTATTAGTGCCACCTTTTCGTGCATGATTGTTCTCCCGATAAATCCACTGCATTAGATCAGAACTCGTCGTCGTTTAGCGTCACATATCCTCTAAAAAGCCAGCCGTTGGTGACCCGCAGCTCATTGATCAGCCTATTCCAATTGGAGCCGAGAGCACCCACTAAATAATCACACTGCGAGGAAATGATAAAATAGGGCCTGATCAGAATTCATCATCATTTAGCGTCACATATCCTCTAAAAAGCCTACCGTTAGTGACCCGCAGCTCATTGATCAGCCTATTCCAGTTCGAGCCCAGCGCGCCAACAAAATAATCACACTGCGAGGAAATGATCAGATTGGCAAAGCTGATGCCAACCAGCTGATGGCCCACGTCTCGCTCGTAATCCACCATGAATCTGGTGCTGTTTTGGCGCGGGTTGTGCGAGTAATGAAATGACCAGTCCTTGAATTGGGCTGTTTGGTCGATAGCGGACTGCAACGTTGCAGGGAGAGGATCAAAAGGGAAACAGGGATGGGAATGGGGAGGAACAGGAACAAGAGGGATGAAGCTGATGCCAACTAGCTGGTGCCCCACGTCTCTCTCGTGATCCACCATATATTTGGTGCTGTTTTGGCGCGGGTTGTGCAAGTAATGAAATGACGAGTCCTTAAATTGGGCTGTTTGGTCGATAGCGGACTGCAGGGTTGCAGGGAGACAATCACAAGGGATCAGGGATGGGAATGGGGAGAAACGGGAACAAGAGGGATGAAGCTGATCCCAACTAGTTGATGCCCCACGTCTCTTTCATACTGCACCATGTGCTTGTTGCTGCTCGCCATTGTAACGAGGTGACTTTTGAGTCAACAAGGTCACTCAGTGCCAACCAGCTAATGCCAACCAGGTAATGCCAACCAGGTAATGCCAACCAGCTAATGCCAACCAGCTAATGCCAACCAGGTAATGCCAACCAGCTAATGCCAACCAGCTAATGCCAACCAGCTAATGTCAACCAGGTAATGCCAACCAGCTAATGCCAACCAGGTAATGCCAACCAGGTAGTGCCAACCAGGTAATGCCAACCAGGTAATGCCAACCAGGTAATGCCAACCAGGTAGTGCCAACCAGGTAATGCCAACCAGCTTATGCCGCTTGGTTTGCTTGTAACCCACCATGTGCTTGTATGATAAGTCCACCAGCTTATGCCCACTTTAGAGTCGACTCAAAACTCGACTTGTAACCCACCATGTGCTTGTATGATAAGTCCAGCAGCTTATGCCCACTTTAGAGTCGACTCAAAACTCGACTTGTAACCCACCATGTGCTTGTATGATAAGTCCAGCAGCTTATGCCCACTTTAGAGTCGACTCAAAACTCGACTTGTAACCCACCATGTGCTTGTATGATAAGTCCAGCAGCTTATGCCCACTTTAGAGTCGACTCAAACCCACCATGTGCTTGTAACCCACCATGTGCTTGTTGCTGCTTTGGCGCTGGTCGTGGGAAATATGAAAAGACCACTCCTTGAATTGAGTTGCCTGGTCAATGACAGACTGGATAGATGGAGAGAGAGGGAGAGGCATTCAGTGGAACAGGGGACAGTAGGAATGACAGGGATGAGCTTGTTGCTGCTTTGGCGCAGGTTGTGGGAGTGGAGGAACGACCAATCCTTGAATTGAGAAGCCTGGTCAATGACAGACTGGATAGATGGAGAGAGGGGGAGAGGCTTTGAGTGGAACATGGGGCAGTAGGAATGACAGGGATAAGTTTGTTGCTGCTTTGGCGCTGGTCGTGGGAAATACGAAAAGACCAATCCTTGAATTGAGAAGCCTGGTCGATGACAGACTGGATAGATGGAGAGAGGGCCACAGGGGCCAGAATGTTTTTTTTTTTAGGGACAACAGGGGACATGGGATTGGTTTGGAGCTGCTTTGGCTCGGGTTGTGCAAGTGGAGAAACGACCAATCCTTGAATTGAGATGCCTGGTCGATGACAGACTGGATAGATGGAGAGAGGCATTGAAAAGGGGACAATTGAAATAACATGAAGGCAGGGAAATACCGATACGCAAAGAACATGAAAGCCGCAAATGTTTTTTGAGAATTCTCAGAATTCTGAAAAAACATGAGTTGAGGTGCATCTCACTGCCCTTGTCGCCCTGCCGCACATGCACACTCACTACCGGCCGCAGTGTGTGGTGTGTGCCCAGCCTACTGTCTCACTCCCTCACCTGCATCTCTGTGCTGAGCCAGATGTGCTTCAAGTCAGGGTCTTCCCGTCTTAGCCGGTAGGAGAAGAACATGAAAGCAGTGAAGGTGTTGAGCTGCATTTCACTGCCCTTGTCGCCCTGCCTCACATGCACACTCACTATCGGCTGCAGTGTCACGCATGTGGGGTGTGCCCAGCCCAATCCCACTGTCTCACCTGCATTTCTGTGCTGAGCCAAACGTGCCTCAGCTCTGGCTCCACACGTCTCAGCCGATACGCAAAGAACATGAAAGCCGCGAAGGAGTTGAGATGCATCTCACTGCCCTTGTCGCCCTGCCTCACATGCACACTCACTATCGGCCGCGGCACGTACGGCTCGGCCCCAAGAGCTAGGTAGTGTTTGGAGCTAAGAAAGCCGCTTGTGGACCGTATGTCTACGTCAGAAACCCCTTCTATATGGGTCGTATCCGTTGCACCGGTGCTGCTGGTGCTGCTGGTGCTGCTGGTGCTGCTGGTGCTGTCGGTGCTGCTGGTGCTGTTGCTGGTGCTGCTACAGCTGCAGCTGGTGGGTCGCCTCTCTGCCCATGCCCTTGACTCCAGAGTGCAACCATTGAGAACACTGTCTACAGACGGGAATGACCCTGTAAATTTAGGGTTTCCACTAGGGTTACTACCAGTAGAGCTACTGCTGGGATTACTGCCGGGGTTACTGCTGGGGTTACCACTGGGGTTACCACTGGGGTTACCACTGCTGATGCTTGGGTTACCAGAGTCACTGCCACTACTGCTTACGTCAGAAACCCCCTCACTACTTCTACCGTTAGAGCTCATATCATTAGCCACTGCTCCAGCGCTGTTACTGCTTCCATCGCCGCCTATACACGGCGGCGCAGCAGCTCTTAGCGAGGATAGCATATCTGGGTGAGATCGGGCCAGGGCGGCAGAGGCTGAGAGGTGGGCGGCAACTGAGAGGCCGTACGAGGTGTGGCGGACGCGGTTGGTGATGTGGCAGAGGTAGGCAGAGGGGGAGCGGAGGAGGAAACGAATAGACTGAGCCCGCCACCAGTGCACCTGTGGGTATAGGGGCGGGTAAAGGTGGGGAGCATGGTTGGGTTTGGGGAGAAGAAGGGAGGCTGAGAGGCTGTAAGGTGTGTGGCGGAGACAGTCGGTTGGTTACGAGGCAGTAGGAGGCACAGTTGGTCGGTTGGTGATGTGGCAGAGGTAGGCGGAGGGCGAGCGGAGGAGGAAGCGAATAGATTGAGCCCGCCACCAGTGCACCTGGTAGGAGGGTATAGGAGGGGAGAATAGTTGGGTGGGAGGCGGTGAAGGGAGAATAGAGGGGCAGTAAGAGGTGTGGTGGACACGTTTGGTGATGTGGCAGAGGTAGGCGGAGGGCGAGCGGAGGAGGAAGCGAATAGATTGAGCCCGCCACCAGTGCACCTGGTAGGAGGGTATAGGAGGGGAGAATAGTTGGGTGGGAGGCGGTGAAGGGAGAATAGAGGGGCAGTAAGAGGTGTGGTGGACACGTTTGGTGATGTGGCAGAGGTAGGCGGAGGGCGAGCGGAGGAGGAAGCGAATAGATTGAGCCCGCCACCAGTGCACCTGGTAGGAGGGTATAGGAGGGGAGAATAGTTGGGTGGGAGGCGGTGAAGGGAGAATAGAGGGGCAGTAAGAGGTGTGGTGGACACGTTTGGTGATGTGGCAGAGGTAGGCGGAGGGCGAGCGGAGGAGGAAGCGGATGGACTGGGCTCGCCACCAGTGCACCTGTGGGTATAGGGCAGGTAAAGGTTAGGAGGGAGAGTCAGATACATGGGGTGATGTGGCAGAGGTAGGCGGAGGGCGAGCGGAGGAGGAAGCGGATGGACTGGGCTCGCCACCAGTGCACCTGTGGGTATAGGGCAGGTAAAGGTTAGGAGGGAGAGTCAGATACATGGGGTGATGTGGCAGAGGTAGGCGGAGGGCGAGCGGAGGAGGAAGCGGATGGACTGGGCTCGCCACCAGTGCACCTGAATAGGAAGGGTGGGCATAGATGGTGAGGGGAAACGGAAGTTAGGGGGAAGAAGTAAAAGGGGGAAGCAGATTCAGCGAGTTGGTGGTGTGATATTTATCACATGCAGCAACACATGCAGCAACACATGCAGCAGCACACCCAAGCAGACCTCAGAACACCCCAGCACACCCCAGCACACCCCAGCACATCCCAGCACACCCCAGCACACCCCAGCACACCCCAGCGCATCCCAGCACGCTTCACCCACCCGTTGTCTTGTCTCATCCCCCTCCACCACGAATCCAACGAGCTCGATGGTGTTTGGCCGCTCACGGTAAGCGTTGGGGCACCGCCAACACAAGCAGCACCAATTCTCACCCCCCACAACCGTTCTCAACCCCCAGGCACACCCCGTAGCACTCACCCGCTGTCTCGTGTCATCCCCCTCCCCCACGAATCCAACGAGCTCGATGGTGTTTGGCCGCTCACGGTATGCATTGGGCCAACGGCTGGTGGGTGTGAGAGTGTGTATGTGTGGGGCGGGGATAGAAGGGAATGGTAGAGGAGGTTGAATCAGTCTCACCTCATACCGCCTCCCCCTCTCCCACGAATCCAAAAAGCTCGATGCTGTTAGGCGCCAGCCAGTCACCGTAGGTCCGTAGGCATTGGGGCAACGGCTGCACAGAGGTGACTTTTGAGTCGACTCAAAGGTCCGTAGGCATTGGGGCAACGGCCGCACAGAGGTGACTTTTGAGTCGACTCAAAGGTCCGTAGGCATTGGGGCAACGGCTGCACAGAGGTGACTTTTGAGTCGACTCAAAGGTCCGTAGGCATTGGGCCAAGGGCCGCACAGAGGTGAGTTTGAGTCGACTCAAAGGTCCGTAGGCATTGGGGCAACGGCTGCACAGAGGTGACTTTTGAGTCGACTCAAAGGTCCGTAGGCATTGGGGCAACGGCTGCACAGAGGTGACTTTTGAGTCGACTCAAAGGTCCGTAGGCATTGGGCCAACGGCTGCACAGAGGTGACTTTTGAGTCGACTCAAAGGTCCGTAGGCATTGGGGCAACGGCTGCACAGAGGTGACTTTTGAGTCGACTCAAAGGTCCGTAGGCATTGGGCCAACGGCCGCACAGAGGTGACTTTTGAGTCGACTCAAAGGTCCGTAGGCATTGGGCCAAGGGCCGCACAGAGGTGACTTTTGAGTCGACTCAAAGGTCCGTAGGCATTGGGGCAACGGCTGCACAGAGGTGACTTTTGAGTCGACTCAAAGGTCCGTAGGCATTGGGGCAACGGCTGCACAGAGGTGACTTTTGAGTCGACTCAAAGGTCCGTAGGCATTGGGCCAACGGCCGCACAGAGGTGACTTTTGAGTCGACTCAAAGGTCCGTAGGCATTGGGCCAACGGCCGCACAGAGGTGACTTTTGAGTCGACTCAAAGGTCCGTAGGCATTGGGCCAAGGGCCGCACAGAGGTGACTTTTGAGTCGACTCAAAGGTCCGTAGGCATTGGGGCAACGGCTGCACAGAGGTGACTTTTGAGTCGACTCAAAGGTCCGTAGGCATTGGGCCAACGGCCGCACAGAGGTGACTTTTGAGTCGACTCAAAGGTCCGTAGGCATTGGGCCAACGGCCGCACAGAGGTGACTTTTGAGTCGACTCAAAGGTCCGTAGGCATTGGGCCAAGGGCCGCACAGAGGTGACTTTTGAGTCGACTCAAAGGTCCGTAGGCATTGGGGCAACGGCTGCACAGAGGTGACTTTTGAGTCGACTCAAAGGTCCGTAGGCATTGGGCCAACGGCCGCACAGAGGTGACTTTTGAGTCGACTCAAAGGTCCGTAGGCATTGGGCCAACGGCCGCACAGAGGTGACTTTTGAGTCGACTCAAAGGTCCGTAGGCATTGGGCCAAGGGCCGCATAGAGGTGACTTTTGAGTCGACTCAAAGGTCCGTAGGCATTGGGGCAACGGCTGCACAGAGGTGACTTTTGAGTCGACTCAAAGGTCCGTAGGCATTGGGGCAACGGCCGCACAGAGGTGACTTTTGAGTCGACTCAAAGGTCCGTAGGCATTGGGCCAACGGCCGCACAGAGGTGACTTTTGAGTCGACTCAAAGGTCCGTAGGCATTGGGCCAAGGGCCGCACAGAGGTGACTTTTGAGTCGACTCAAAGGTCCGTAGGCATTGGGGCAACGGCCGCACAGAGGTGACTTTTGAGTCGACTCAAAGGTCCGTAGGCATTGGGCCAACGGCCGCACAGAGGTGACTTTTGAGTCGACTCAAAGGTCCGTAGGCATTGGGCCAAGGGCCGCGCAGAGGTGACTTTTGAGTCGACTCAAAGGTCCGTAGGCATTGGGCCAACGGCCGCACAGAGGTGACTTTTGAGTCGACTCAAAAGTCCGTAGGCATTGGGCCAACGGCCGCACAGAGGTGACTTTTGAGTCGACTCAAAGGTCCGTAGGCATTGGGGCAACGGCTGCACAGAGGTGACTTTTGAGTCGACTCAAAGGTCCGTAGGCATTGGGGCAACGGCTGCACAGAGGTGACTTTTGAGTCGACTCAAAGGTCCGTAGGCATTGGGCCAACGGCTGCACAGAGGTGACTTTTGAGTCGACTCAAAGGTCCGTAGGCATTGGGGCAACGGCTGCACAGAGGTGACTTTTGAGTCGACTCAAAGGTCCGTAGGCATTGGGCCAACGGCTGCACAGAGGTGACTTTTGAGTCGACTCAAAGGTCCGTAGGCATTGGGGCAACGGCTGCACAGAGGTGACTTTTGAGTCGACTCAAAGGTCCGTAGGCATTGGGGCAACGGCTGCACAGAGGTGACTTTTGAGTCGACTCAAAGGTCCGTAGGCATTGGGCCAACGGCTGCACAGAGGTGACTTTTGAGTCGACTCAAAGGTCCGTAGGCATTGGGGCAACGGCTGCACAGAGGTGACTTTTGAGTCGACTCAAAGGTCCGTAGGCATTGGGCCAACGGCTGCACAGAGGTGACTTTTGAGTCGACTCAAAGGTCCGTAGGCATTGGGGCAACGGCTGCACAGAGGTGACTTTTGAGTCGACTCAAAGGTCCGTAGGCATTGGGCCAACGGCTGCACAGAGGTGACTTTTGAGTCGACTCAAAGGTCCGTAGGCATTGGGCCAACGGCTGCACAGAGGTGACTTTTGAGTCGACTCAAAGGTCCGTAGGCATTGGGCCAACGGCTGCACAGAGGTGACTTTTGAGTCGACTCAAAGGTCCGTAGGCATTGGGGCAACGGCTGCACAGAGGTGACTTTTGAGTCGACTCAAAGGTCCGTAGGCATTGGGCCAACGGCTGCACAGAGGTGACTTTTGAGTCGAGTCAAAGGTCCGTAGGCATTGGGCCAACGGCTGCACAGAGGTGACTTTTGAGTCGACTCAAAGGTCTGTAGGCATTGGGGCAACGGCTGCACAGAGGTGACTTTTGAGTCGACTCAAAGGTCCGTAGGCATTGGGCCAACGGCTGCACAGAGGTGACTTTTGAGTCGACTCAAAGGTCCGTAGGCATTGGGGCAACGGCTGCACAGAGGTGACTTTTGAGTCGACTCAAAGGTCCGTAGGCATTGGGCCAACGGCGGCACAGAGGTGACTTTTGAGTCGACTCAAAGGTCCGTAGGCATTGGGGCAACGGCTGCACAGAGGTGACTTTTGAGTCGACTCAAAGGTCCGTAGGCATTGGGGCAACGGTTGCACAGAGGTGACTTTTGAGTCGACTCAAAGGTCCGTAGGCATTGGGCCAACGGCTGCACAGAGGTGACTTTTGAGTCGACTCAAAGGTCCGTAGGCATTGGGGCAACGGCTGCACAGAGGTGACTTTTGAGTCGACTCAAAGGTCCGTAGGCATTGGGCCAACGGCTGCACAGAGGTGACTTTTGAGTCGAGTCAAAGGTCCGTAGGCATTGGGCCAACGGCTGCACAGAGGTGACTTTTGAGTCGACTCAAAGGTCTGTAGGCATTGGGGCAACGGCTGCACAGAGGTGACTTTTGAGTCGACTCAAAGGTCCGTAGGCATTGGGCCAACGGCTGCACAGAGGTGACTTTTGAGTCGACTCAAAGGTCCGTAGGCATTGGGGCAACGGCTGCACAGAGGTGACTTTTGAGTCGACTCAAAGGTCCGTAGGCATTGGGCCAACGGCTGCACAGAGGTGACTTTTGAGTCGACTCAAAGGTCCGTAGGCATTGGGCCAACGGCTGCACAGAGGTGACTTTTGAGTCGACTCAAAGGTCCGTAGGCATTGGGGCAACGGCTGCACAGAGGTGACTTTTGAGTCGACTCAAAGGTCCGTAGGCATTGGGCCAACGGCCGCACAGAGGTGACTTTTGAGTCGACTCAAAGGTCCGTAGGCATTGGGGCAACGGCTGCACAGAGGTGACTTTTGAGTCGACTCAAAGGTCCGTAGGCATTGGGCCAACGGCCGCACAGAGGTGACTTTTGAGTCGACTCAAAGGTCCGTAGGCATTGGGGCAACGGCCGCACAGAGGTGACTTTTGAGTCGACTCAAAGGTCCGTAGGCATTGGGGCAACGGCCGCACAGAGGTGACTTTTGAGTCGACTCAAAGGTCCGTAGGCATTGGGCCAACGGCCGCACAGAGGTGACTTTTGAGTCGACTCAAAGGTCCGTAGGCATTGGGGCAACGGCCGCACAGAGGTGACTTTTGAGTCGACTCAAAGGTCCGTAGGCATTGGGCCAACGGCTGCACAGAGGTGACTTTTGAGTCGACTCAAAGGTCCGTAGGCATTGGGCCAACGGCTGCACAGAGAAAGGGAGAGTGTATGCCGGAAATTAAGGTGACATTGCTCCCCTCACCTGACATCCCCTTCAAAGCGCAATCCGTTATAAGGCTCCCTGTGGAACCACACCATGCGCTGCTCTGACGCCAGGACCCCCTCCTTGCTCTCCTCCCCCTACCCCCTGAACTTGTTCTCCCCTCACCTGACATCCCCTTCAAAGCGCAATCCGTTATAAGGCTCCAACGCCAGAACCCCCTCCTTGCTCTCCTCTCCTCCCCCTACCCCCCCTGCCCCCACCTTCCCTCCCTCCTCCCCCAACCCTAAAGCTTACAACCCAACCGCGTTCTCTCCCCTCACCTGACATCCCCTTCAAATCGCAATCCGTTATAAGGCTCCCCATGGAACCACACCACTCGCCCCTTCCCTCTACTCCCCCAACCCTAATCCTTTCCTCTCCCCTCACCTGACATCCCCTTCAAAGCGCAATCCGTTATAAGGCTCCCCATGGAACCACACCACTCGCCCCTTCCCTCTACTCCCCCAACCCTAATCCTTCCTCTCCCCTCACCTGACATCCCCTTCAAAGCGCAATCCGTTATAAGGCTCCCCATGGAACAGCACCACTCGCTGCTTCCCTCTACTCCCCCAACCCTAATCCTTTCCTCTCCCCTCACCTGGCATCCCCTTCAAAGCGCAATCCGTTATAAGGCTCCCCATGGAACAGCACCACTCGCTGCTCCGACGCCAGAACCGCCTCCTTGCTCTCCTCTGTCATACGTGGCAGCGTCTCATTGGCCGCTGCTGCCGCCGCCACTGCCAGCTCAGCTTCGTGTTCACAAGCAGGAGAGACGATGGGGAGGAAGTAACAGTGGAAGGAACCAAACGTGCCTGTGGCTGGAAATATACGGACAGGAAATGAGGAAAAGGGCAGGTTGGTTGGGAAGAGGGGGGTTTGCCTTGTTGGTTAACCGCAGCAACGGCTCAGCTCAGCTTGTTGTTCACAGGAAGGAGAGACGAGGGGGAAGAAGTAGCAATTGAAGGAACCGAATGTGCCAGTGGCTGGGGGGGGGGGGAGTGTTGGGGGTAAAGGAGGGTGGGAAGGTGGTTGACTAATCTTGTAAGTCAACTGTAGCTCAATTCAGCTTCGTGGTCACAGGCAGGCGAGACGAGGGGGGAGAAGTAGCAGTGGAAGGAAGCATAAGTGCCTGTGGCTGGATATTGGAGGGGGGAGGGGAGTTTAGGAGGGCGGGATAGGAGGGGAAGTTGCCTTGCAAGGTGACTGCTCCGGCAGCTCAGCTTCGTGGTCACAGGCAGGCGAGACGAGAGGGAAGAAGTAGCAGTGGAAGAACGCGAACGTGCCTGCAGCTGGAAGAAGGGGACAGAGAGTTGGGGAAGAGAGGGGGAGAGGAGACGAGGGGGGGGTGGTGTTCAAGTTGTCACACATTGCAACTCAGGAGACGAAGGGGAGAAAATAGCACCTCAGCTCACCATTGCAATCGGAGTGGCTGGCTCGAGTGAACGACCCCTTGGTGGGAACCAGCACCCTTTTGAACCGCATTGCGAGGCTCAGAACCGCACTCATGATATGCAGCTGTGAGCCAATCCCGTGCACCGAGCTCGGCCAATCCACCAATAGGAGCCGGTCTTTGCTGCAGTCTCCCCCAGGGGGGAACTGGTGCGCCCAGATGTCCCTCTGAGCGACACGTGTCATCGCCAGATTGGCTGCGTCAGACCCGAGGATCCAGGGTGGCTGGGGGTGAGCTTGTGCCGCCCAGGGGGGAAGCTTCCCCCTTTCCCCGCTTACTTGTGAGCCCTCCTTTGATTCTCCCCTTGCTTCCCCCGTTTCCCCCACTCCTCGTGCTTTCCCCCCTTCCCCCACATCCCCCGTTTCCCCCGTTTCCCCCGCTTCCCCCGTTCCCCCTGCTTCCCCCGCGTCCCCCGTGTCCCCCGCGTCCCCCTGCTCCTGCGCCCAGCGCCAGGCAGTCAGGGCCGCGCAGTCCTCCAGGTGGGGGGGAGGGGGAACGTGCGGGGGGAGGGAGATGGCGGAAGGGGGAAGGGGGGAGCTCGCCTGCAGCCCATATGCCCCCTCCCATGCCTGTCAGGGGAGGGGGAACGGTCGGGGGGGAGGGGGAACGTTCAGGGGGGAGGGGGAACGCGCGGGGAAGGAGGGAGTCCGCCTGTAGCCCATATGCCGCCTCCCATGCCTGTCAGGGGAAGAGTTGGGGAAAGGGGGAATAGTCAGGAGGAGGGGAAAAAGTCAGAGGGAGGGGGAACGGTCGGGCGGGGGGATGGGTAGGGTGGAAGGAAGAAGGGGAAAGGGGCGAGTCCGCCTGCCGGCCATATGTCGCCTCCCATGCCTGTCAGGGGAGGGGGCATGGCGGAAGGGGGAAGGGGGGAGTCCGCCTGCAGTTCGTAGTATGCCGCCTCCCATGCCTGCCAGCGGAAGAGATGAGTGAAGGGGGAACAGTTGGGGTGAAGGGGAACGGTCTGGGGGATGGGGAATGTACGGGGGGACGGGTATGGGACAGGCGGATGGCGGAAGGGGGAAGAGGGGAGGCCGCCTGCAGCCCATATGCCGCCTCCCATGCCTGTCAGTGAAGGCGGAACGGTCAGGTGGAAGGCGGAACGGTCCGGAAGGAGGGGGAATGGTCAGGGGGATGGGTGCGGCGGAAGGAGGACGAGTTACGGACGAGCATCATGCTAAAACTGCAGTGCTGTACCCGATATAAGGACATCGCGCGCTCCAGACCCGCGTCTCCTTGAGCATTTGTCCGCGTTATAAGCACGAGACCCGCTACTGCGGCTACTACGGAGCGCCAAAAATGCAGGCCAACGGCCGGCAAGCGGAACCGCGACATCTAGCGAGTCGGACGATTAGGGCCAGCGAATCAGGAGAGCAAATCAATCGAATCGACGATGACATGAAGTTTCGAGACGTCTCAAAACTCGGAATCAAGAAATCAATATCCGGAGGTAGCCTAAATGTGGTGACTCTCCTCGTACTCGACATAAATTTGATTGGATTTGCTCGAATCGCTCTTCTATAACGCAGTGCTTCTTGCAATACACGGATAAGGCTCGGCCCACATATTGCAGTGGACCATCCAATCGGACGGCATTTCCATAATCTCCGACGGTATTTTCCCAGGACGGCAATCCTTCAGCGACAGTGCAGAGTGGAAGGGATGCCGAGGCGCGGACAAGGAGCTACAGTATCGATGGATGTGAGGGTGATACTTCTTCGATTTGAGCCGCCGCGCCTGTGCTGTTAATGGAGTGAATTCATGTAGTCGTGATAGGGGTGTTACATGTACTCTTAAGAAACATTGCCATTCTTTTTATCGATAAATGTTTTTCACGTGAATTCATACGTGATTTTTGTTTTCTCCTGATTGAATGTCGATCTTTTGTTCATGACTGAATATTTGCACTTCCGTTACCATCAACGATTAGATAAGGATGTGATTTTAGCTGGAAACACTTTGGATTTTCTTTTGTTCCCGGCTATACGGAAATCGCGTGATCGCCTGACGCGTACAGAAACCTTGTTTATCCAGGTGGTGTAGCGACACGTGTTCGCGTTTGCCTTTTGAACCAACCTAGGGAGCTTTTCCGCCAGCGTGGCACTCTTCTGACCACGCCCTTCCCGCCTAAACCTCGATATCTTCCCACTAGACTCCTGCTGCGGAGCAGCTTTAGGGATGGTTGCTCACAGTACCGCTTATGACCGCTACTCACCTTTCTGAACATCGATACATGAACGGCTATGCAAAAGCATGCTCCGGATCACTATTTTTCCATTCACCATTTGGCTTGATTTAGTGGTCGTCTATCAGAAATATCACTGTTCCTCAGCCAGTGTGCTTTCCTCTCTAATGCCGGATTCATAAAGCTCGAGACGCGTCGTTGTTCGTGTCAGTCTCTTGCGATTCGCTGCTTTCCCTTGAATTCATCAGCGGAAGCGGCTGAGGCTGTTAGAATATTCCGTCGTTTCCATCTTATAACATTCCGCATAACCGTCAGCCTTCTTTCCGCATTAATCGCTATTCGTCATGGCTCAAATACTCTGCGCTAGTGCTGCTGGCAACTTGACGGCCAAATCCCTGCACGGATGCACAAATGTTAGACATTCACCGGTTTCTCCGCTGACCAGCATCTCATTGCGAAGCGCCTTTTCTGGAACCGGAAGCTTCTTAGAAGCAAAACACAACCGCAGAATCCCGAATCGGCGAATCTCGGGATTGCCGGGTCATGCTCGTGCAGAGGATACGAGCGACGCCAGCGATGTTAGCGACACTCCGGTCGCGGAAACAGCCAATGTTGCCAACAGGCTGACGACAGACGGCCCCCTCCTTCGGCCTCGATCTGTTTCCATACCCTTTGGGGATCGAGAGGTACGGTTGGTACAATGCCTATTCATGCTTTCTCTACTGTTTGAGCCTTCCTAAGTCTCTCGCTTCATTCTTTCCGTCTCATTCTCGTTGTCTTTTCTTCCGATTCCCCTGCTCTGTTTCCGGGATCACCTTCGACCGCAAAATATACATCTCTCGCGTTCCTCTCACCCATTCCCTGCCATTCGACCCTCTCCTTCTTCCAGTTTGCACGCCCTGCCTCTCAGATAAACATCGAGAGTGTTTTCACCTACTCGAAACACATCTCTCGCATTCATTCACATCCATTCCCTCCTTCTCATCTCCACGCTATGCTCTCAGATAATTGTTGAGGTGGGCCGGATGGGGCGACAGGCCAACGGCGCCGTGACTGTAACGGACGGAGAGACGGTGCGTGCATGTAGCGAGCGATGTAATCCGATAGCATCGCCATTCAATTTCTTTCCACAATTGAACGGGTTCACATGGTACCTTCCCCGGTCAGGTTATAGACGTCTTAACTGGCTCGCATTCAACCTAAATCCCCCTCTCCCGGGTAACATAAATCCCCCTCTCCACTGAGACCGTGAGAACGGATTCCGCACGAACGTGAACGAATCCCACTCGTCTGCCCACCACCTAACAACACCCCCTTTTGCTCCCCCCATTACCCAGGTGCTGTACTGCACGGTGTGTGCGTCAGAGGAGGAGAGTGAACCTTCAGACTTTGTGCCGCTCTCTGTGAGCTACCAGGAGAGATTCAGCGCTGGGGGGCGCACCAGGTGAGAATTAGTGATGGGGGCTGCAGCAGGTGAGAGTCAGTGCCAGACTTGCACCGGCCAGGTCGTGTACTGTACTGAACATGGGTGGGAATGACGGCTGGTGGGGGCCACATTGGGTGAGAATGACCGCTGAGAAACAAACCAGGCGATTCTTGATATTTTGAGGCTCGTTCGTCCCATTGTCGTTCTTCCCCATTGCACGGTGATTTGGCCCCTCACGTGTGGCCTCCTGCTTTTACCCCCTTGTTCACACCTCACCCTTCGTCCTGGCTGCAGTGGGGGCTACTTCAAGCGGGAAGGACGGCCTAAAGACCACGAGGTATGATCAACGTCACTAGTGAGAGTTTCTTTTAAGTCGAAAGCTTGAGAACAAGAAAAGGAGAAAACAGCTTGGCAAATGTCTAAAGCTTGCTTGGGATTTTTGGCATCGGGTTGCGGATAGAAGAGGCAAAACCATTTGTACATTGGTTCTTTCATCCGTTTCTTCTTCTCTTTTTCCCCATCTGCTTTCTCACCAGATTCTGGTGTCTCGTCTTATTGACCGCCCGCTACGTCCCATGGTGGCTAAGGGATTCAACCACGAAGTGCAGGTCCTCTCGTGGGTGAGTGGAGTCGGCAGCAGCTAGGGTCGAGGATTTACGTGAAGAAGCTGTTTTCAATGTTAGGTGTCTTGCTGCGCCATCAACACTCTCTGCGTCCCATGGTGGCTAAGGGGTTCATCAACCACCAAGTGCTGGTCCTCTCGTGGGTGGGTCGACAGCAGCTAGGGGTGGGGAGTTACGGGAAGAAACATTACAAAACACACCAGAGCTTGGCGTCTTGTTGCCTCATCATCATCACCCTCGGTGTCCCACGGTGGCCAAGGGCTGTGCTTCAACCACCAAGTGCTGGTCCTACCGTCCTTTGGCGGTCTGCAGCTGTTGAGCTACGATGGGGAGCACAGCCCCGACGCCCTTACCATCACTGCTGCTGTTGCTGGCGCTGCTTTTGAGTTGATTCAAAAGTCTAAACCCCAAACCCCGGACCTCTCTTCCTCTCCTACCCGCCTTCCCTGATTCTTCTCAGCTGTTCAGCTACGATGGGGAGCACAGCCCCGATGCCCTTGCCATCTCTGCTTCCGGTGCTGTTTTTGAGTCCACTCAAAGTCAAAACCTTAAACCCATGACCTCCCTTCCCTACCCTCCCTCCCTGATTCGCAGCTGTTCAGCTACGATGGGGAGCACAGCCCCGATGCCCTTGCCATCACCGCTGCTGGAGCTGCTCTGTAAGCTTCTCATGCTCACTCCCACTCTCTCTCACCACGTTCTTCTCATGCTCACGTTCGTTCTTGCCGTTTGAACTGATTCGATTTTTTAGGCGCCTTAAAAAATATCTTTCCGTCAATTACTGTCTCCGGCGTTGCCCCGTCCGTCCCGTGTGATGCTGTATCGGAGTCACTTTTTAGAACCCTTGCTGTCTTCTTCTCCTGCGCTCATGGCCGCTGGTAGATACCTGTCCTCCTGCCTCTACCACTGACGCTCTTGCCGTCAAGCAGCACTGCCTTATGCGCTGCCCTGTGTGATCTGTTGCTCTTCCTGCCAATTCCCTGTGGGAATAGTGGCGGGGGTGCGTGTGGGCATGGTGAATGGCGCTCTGGTCGTCAACCCCACCAACCAGTTCCTCCTTTTCCTCTGCACTCCCTCGCCAACCTGAACCCACCATCCCTGCCCCGTTCCTCCCTTCAGGGCTGTGTCAGATATCCCCCTGGCGGGGATAGTGGCGGGGGTGCGCGTGGGAATGGTGAATGGCGCTCTGGTCGTCAACCCCACCAACCAGCGGTGCTCCTCCCTCCCATCCCCACCCTCCTTTCACCCTTCCCCCCCCACCGCCCCCCCCAATTCCCCATTCCCTTCCCGCAGGGCTGTATCGGATATCCCTTTGGCGGGCATAGTGGCGGGGGTGCGCGTGGGCATGGTGAATGGCACTCTGGTCGTCACGTCAACCCCTCCAACCAGCTCCTCCTCCTCCACGCACCCTCCATGGACCCACTCGCCCTCATCCCTTCCCCACCCACCAACCAGTTCCGCCTTCTCCTCCATGCACCCTTCCCCCCATCCTGACCACCTTCCCTTCAGGGCTGTATCAGACATCCCCCTGGCAGGCATAGTGGCGGGGGTGCGTGTGGGCATGGTGAATGGCGCTCTGGTCGTAAACCCCACCAACCAGCATGGTTTCTCCATCCGTTCCCCGACCCTCCTCCTTCCCTTCCCCCCCCCACCACCCCCCCCAATTCCCCATTCCCTTCCCCCAGGGCTGTGTCAGATATCCCCCTGGCAGGCATAGTAGCGGGGGTGCGCATGGGCATGGTGAATGGCGCTCTGGTCGTCAACCCCACCAACCAGCAGCTGCAAGGGTCGCCTCTAGACCTGGTGGTGGCTGGCACGACTGACTCGGTTCTCATGATAGAGGTACAGCCTAAACCCTAACCCTAAATTGATTAGTGAGACCTCTCAGCCCAACCAACCAGCAGCTGCAAGGGTCGCCTCTAGACCTGGTGGTGGCTGGCACCACCGACTCAGTGCTCATGATCGAGGTACAGCCTGAATCCTAACCCTCAGCTGAGGGGCAGGATGTCGAAGTGAAACCTCTCAGACCCACCAACCAACCAGCAGCTGCAAGGGTCGCCTCTAGACCTGGTGGTGGCTGGCACGACTGACTCGGTTCTCATGATAGAGGTACAGCCTAAACCCTAACCCTAAATTGATTAATGAGACCTCTCAGCCCAACCAACCAGCAGCTGCAAGGGTCGCCGCTAGACCTGGTGGTGGCTGGCACCACCGACTCGGTGCTCATGATCGAGGTAGGTACAACCCAAACCTCAACCCAAACCTCAACCCAAACCTCAACCCAAACCTGAGGGGCAGCTTGTTGAAATGGAACTCTTCAGCCCCACCAAGCAGCAGCTGGAAGGGTCGCCTCTGAACCTGGTGGTGGCTGGCACTACCGACTCGGTTCTGATGATAGAGGTACAGCCCGTCACTGTGCGCACTTAGACTCGAATTGGAACCTCTCAACCCTACCAAGCAGCAGCTGGAAGGGTCGCCGCTAGACCTGGTGGTGGCTGGCACTACCGACTCGGTTCTGATGATAGAGGTACAGCCCGTCACTGTGCGCACTTAGACTCGAATTGGAACCTCTCAACCCTACCAAGCAGCAGCTGGAAGGGTCGCCGCTAGACCTGGTGGTGGCTGGCACTACCGACTCGGTTCTGATGATAGAGGTACAGCCCGTCACTGTGCGCACTTAGACTCGAATTGGAACCTCTCAACCCTACCAACCAGCAGCTGGAAGGGTCGCCGTTAGACCTGGTGGTGGCTGGCTGGGACTACCAACTCGGTGCTCATGATCGAAGAATAGTCAATCCAAAACCCCAGAGCCTCAACTGAGGTGTATTTTGAGGCGCCTCAAAATGCTCATGATCGAAGAATAGTCAATCCAAAACCCCAGAGCCTCAACTGACTCTGAGGGGGGAGGAAGCATGTGAAGGTGGTGTTTGTTAGTAGTATTGACCCCGTACCAGCAGCTGAGAAGTTGTCCCCTCCAACCAGCAGCTGCAGGGATCGCCTCTGGATCTGGTGGTGGCTGGCAGGCACTACCGACTCAGTGCTTATGATCGAGGTTGGTACAGCCTAAACCCTAACCGTAAACTAGGGGCAGGTTGTTAAATTGAAGCCTCTCAGCCCCACCAGCCAGCAGCTGCAAGGGTCACCTCTGGTGACCTGGTACCCATCGCCCCTTCATAACCTTTTCCCTTCCCATCCTCGCTCCTTCCATCTCCCTTCCTTCTCCCCCCCTGTTTTCCTCCGCCCACCAGGGCTACTGCAACCTCCTGTTGGAAGAGCAGCTGCTGGAGGCCGTTGCAGCTGAATAGATGCTACCTCACCTCTTCCCACACCCACAGTTCCCCTCGAAACCCATGAATCACCCCTTTTGCTTGTTGCCCCTCCCCCTCCTTCCTCTTCCCCCGCAGGGCTACTGCAACCTCCTGTCGGAGGAGCAGCTGCTGGAGGCTGTCGCAGCAGGGCAGGTGGGTGTATGTGTGCATTGTTTTGAGTATTATTGTTGTTATTTGATTATTCTTCTTTCAATGCAAGTACTTAATCACCCATGAAGTGTCTGCTCTCCTCTCAAACTCATTTTGTGGATTGCCTATAGAGAAAAGCCTTTAATTCAACCTTCAAGCACCCCTTCCCGATTTCCGCATACATGCGTTCGCTCACCCGCACACACCCACCCACCCACACACACACACACACACAGCAAGCCATCAGTGCAATCTGCCACCCCCTACATAAGTGGACAAAGGAGACAGAGGGAGTCTCAAAGCTCAAGCCGCCATCCACACTCATACCTCAGCTCGCCCATTCCCCCTCCCGTTGTTTCCCACACCCACAAATTCACAGCAAGCCATCAGTGCCATCTGCCACGGCCTACACAAGTGGACCCAGGAGACCGAAGGAGTCTCGAAGCCCAAGCTCACTGCCGCCATCCACGCTCATACCTCAGCTCGCCCATTCCCCCTCCCGTTGTTTCACACACCAACAAACTCACAGCAAGCCATCAGTGTCATCTGCCACGGCCTATACAAGTGGACTCAGGAGACGGAGGGAGTGGCAAAGCCCAAGCTCACTGCTGCCATCCACGCCCCACCGGCGGACCTGCTGGGTCACACACCCTCCCACCCACCCATACCCACCTACACCCCGCTCCCTGCAGCAAGCCATCAGTGCCATCTGCCACGGCTTACATAAGTGGACTCAGGAGACCGAGGGAGTGGCAAAGCCCAATCTCACTGCCGCCATCCACGCCCCACCGGCTGACCTGCTGGCTCACACACACCCACACACCCACACCCACCCACCCATACACCCACACATACACCCCCCTTACCTGCAGCAAGCCATCAGTGCCATCTGCCATGGCCTACATAAGTGGACTCAGGAGACGGAGGGAGTGGCAAAGCCCAAGCTCACTGCCGCCATCCCCCCTTCCCCATTTCCCACCCACCCACACCCACATACAGCAAGCCATCAGCGCCATATGCCACAGCTTGCACACGTGGACTCAGGAGACTGAAGGAGTGGCAAAGCCCAAGCTCACTGCAGCCATCCACGCCCCACCGGCTGACCTGCTGGGTCGGCTGGAGGGACTGGTGGGGACGGACTTGGAAGCGGCTCTTCTAACCTTCGACTCCCCCCTTCTCCCCCCCCCACACTCTCTCTCTTTCACGCATCCACCCACCGACATACAGAAAGCCATCAGTGCCATCTGTCACGGCTTGCACAAGTGGACCCAGGAGGTTGAAGGAGTCTCAAAGCCCAAGCTCACTGCCGCCATCCATGCCCCACCGGCGGACCTGCTGGGTCGGCTGGAGGGACTGGTGGGGGCGGATTTGGAAGCGGCGCTGAGGATCGAGGGGAAGAAGCAGCGGGGGGTGGCGATCAAGGCGGTTGAAGAGAAGGTGCTGGGGGCGCTCACAAAGGCGGGGCAGGCCGCCACTAAGCAGGTGAGCAGTGGGGCAGGCAGCAACCAGGCAGGTGAGAGAATGAGGGGTGGGCATTGCTTGTGGCTGGGGAGTGGCTGAGTGCTTGAGACCTGCTGGGTCGGCTGGAGGGACTGGTGGGGGCGGATTTGGAGGCGGCGCTGAGGATTGAGGGGAAGAAGCAGCGGGGGGTGGCGATGAAGGTGGTTGAGGAGAAGGTGCTGGGGGCGCTCACAGAGGCGGGGCAGGCAGCAACCAGGCAGATGAGATGAGACAGCAACGAGGCTTGTGAGTGGTTTAGGGGGGTTGGCAGAAGAGGGGCGAGAAGAAGGCATGTGGAAGGTAAGAAGAGGAGGATGGCTAGTAGTCGTGCCGCCAGGATGACTTTTGAGTCGACTCAAAAGTCACCTCGACTCAAAAGTCACTTCTTTTGAGTCGACTCAAAAGTCACCTCGACTCAAAAGTCACTTCTTTTGAGTCGACTCAAAAGGAGGATGGCTAGTAGTAGTGCTGCCAGGGAAGGGGGTTGCGGACTCACATACATGGCATGGCACCTTGAGTCACCTCCCAATGGCACCCATTCCCACCCAACCCAGCCATCACTCTGGCTGGCAGGCAGCAAGGGAGGAGGACGAGGAGGCGGCGCTGGCAGAGGAGGAAGGGCTGGTAGTGCCGCCAGGGGACGCCACTCGCACTTTCACCCATCCCATCTCCACCCATCCGCACTACCTACCACCCAACCTAACCCAACCCCGCTCCTTTGGCTGGCAGGCAGCAAAGGAAGGGGACGAGAAGGGGGAGCTGGTAGAGGAGGAAGGAAGGGCTGGTGGTGTCGCCAGGGGACGTGGACTCACACTTGCACCCATGCCCACCCATCCCCACCCATCCCCACCCATCTTCACCCCACGTCACTCGTCTGCCTTTCAGACAGCAAAGGAGGAGGATGAGGAAGCAGAGCTGGCAGAGGAGGAAGGGCTGGTGGTGCCGCCAGGGGACGTGGACGCGGGGGAGGTGCATGTTAAAGGCAGCTTGATTCTCCTCCCAATGGCACCCATTCCCACCAAACCCCACCAATCCCAACCATTGCCCTGGCTGGCAGGCGGCGAAGGAGGAGGATGAGGAAGCGGAGGCAGAGGAGGAGGGGTTGGTGGTGCCACCAGGGGACGTGACTCACATTTGCACCCATCCCCACCCATCTTCACCCATCCCTACGGGTCCCCACCCATTCCGACCCAACCAAATCTCCTTTCTTTGGCTTTCATGCTGCAAAGGAGGAGGACGAGGAGGCAGAGTTGGCAGAGGAGGAGGGGCTGGTAGTGCCGCCAGGGGACATGGACGAGGGGGAGGTGCATGTGAAGGGCACAGGGACAAGACAAGATTGCCTCCGTGCAAGGGGTTGTGGACTCACTCACACTTGCACCCATCCCCGCCCATCCCACCCATCTTCAGGCAGCAAAGGAGGAGGACGAGGAAGCAGAGCTGGCAGAGGAGGAGGGGCTGGTGGTTCCCGCAGGGGATGTGGACGAGGGGGAGGTGCATGTTAAAGGCACAGGGGTGGGAACTGGGGTGGGGAAGGCAGTGGGGAAGGGGAAGGGGAGGGCGGATGTGGTGGAGGTGGCATATGACCCGGTGGATGTGAAGAAGCAGCTCAAGGAGCTGACTTCTCTCATCATGCGACGTATCATTGTCACGGTGAGTGTGCTACCTCTGAAGGGCCTCGAAACAGCAATACAGAAACAGGTTGGCATATGACCCTGTGGAACGTGGGTGTGGTGGATGTGGCATGGCATATGACCCGGTGGATGTGAAGAAGCAGCTCAAGGAGCTGACTTCTCTCATCATGCGACGTATCATTGTCACGGTGAGTGTGCTACCTCTGAAGGGCCTCGAAACAGCAATACAGAAACAGGTTGGCATATGACCCTGTGGAACGTGGGTGTGGTGGATGTGGCATGGCATATGACCCGGTGGATGTGAAGAAGCAGCTCAAGGAGCTGACTTCTCTCATCATGCGACGTATCATTGTCACGGTGAGTGTGCTACCTCTGAAGGGCCTCGAAACAGCAATACAGAAACAGGTTGGCATATGACCCTGTGGAACGTGGGTGTGGTGGATGTGGCATGGCATATGACCCGGTGGATGTGAAGAAGCAGCTCAAGGAGCTGACTTCTCTCATCATGCGACGTATCATTGTCACGGTGAGTGTGCTACCTCTGAAGGGCCTCGAAACAGCAATACAGAAACAGGTTGGCATATGACCCTGTGGAACGTGGGTGTGGTGGATGTGGCATGGCATATGACCCGGTGGATGTGAAGAAGCAGCTCAAGGAGCTGACTTCTCTCATCATGCGACGTATCATTGTCACGGTGAGTGTGCTACCTCTGAAGGGCCTCGAAACAGCAATACAGAAACAGGTTGGCATATGACCCTGTGGAACGTGGGTGTGGTGGATGTGGCATGGCATATGACCCGGTGGATGTGAAGAAGCAGCTCAAGGAGCTGACTTCTCTCATCATGCGACGTATCATTGTCACTGTGAGTGCTGAGATGTGACAACTATGGAACTCTGAGGGGGCCCAAACAGCAATGTGGGGATGTGAAGAAGCAGCAAAGGAGGGAGCTGACGTGTGGGATCATGAGGCGTATCATTGTCACCAGGATTGCTGAGATGTGGCAAAACATGTGGCGTGCTTTTGAGTTGACTCAGGAGTCATGCCTCATCCCTGTGTGTGTGGGCAGCTATGCCACTCGGGTGCGATCAATCAAGAACGAGGCATCCAAAAACGTGGAGAACAAGGAGGAGCCACCGCACCCCATGCCCCATGCCCCATGCCCCATGCCCCATGCCCCATGCCCCATGCCCCATGCCCCATGCCCCATGCCCCATGCCCCATGCCCCATGCCCCATGCCCCATGCCCCATGCCCCATGCCCCATGCCCCGTGTCCATGCCACCCTACCTCCCCCCTCCAACCCCTGCAACAGGAGGGTCGTCGCAGCGATGGGCGGGGAACCAGTGACGTGCGCCCCATCGAGTCCGCCTGTGGCGTTCCTTTGAGTCGCTTTTGAGGCCTTATGACCTGTCCCCATCCCCCATGCCCCGTGCCCATTTTCCATGCTCCATGTCCATTTTACCCCCCCCCCCCTCTCTCGTGCCACAGGAGGGTCGTCGCAGTGATGGGCGGGGAACCAGTGACGTGCGGCCCATCGAGTCGGCCTGTGGCGTTCTGCCACGTGTGCATGGCAGTGCACTGTTCACCCGAGGGGAAACACAGGTGCGTGAACCCGTGGGTGGGCAGGTGGGTAGGTGGGTGGAGGGGGGGGTGGTTGGATGGGTGGAAACAGGTGGTTTCTGAGAATTGCCAAAATTAGTTGGGTGGATGGGTGGAAGTTCAGGCACAAGTGCATAAGTTCCTTCCCCCTTCCCCTTTCACCCTACCCCTTCCCGTTTCCCCGTCCCCCCTCCCCCATTCCGCCTTCCCCTTTGCCCCTTCCTTATTGCCCTTTGCCCCTTTTTGTTGCCCTTTGCCCCTAGCCCCATCCCAGGCACTTGGCAGTTGCAGCGATTGGACCAACCAAGTTCACTAAATAATCACTTTTCTCCCTCCCCCTTCCCCATTGCCCTTCCCTTCTCCCACTTCCGAATCCCCCCCCCTTCTCCCCCTTCCCCCTTCCCCTTCCCTCTTCCCCCCTGTCCCCCCAGGCACTGGCAGTGGCGACACTGGGAGGGGAGGACAGCGCGCAGCGATTGGACCACCTGACTGCCACGTCAGAGCTCAAGCGGTTCTACCTGCAGGTGTGTGCATGTGTGCCTGTAATGGTGTGTGCGTGTAATGGCGTGAGCCTGTATTGGCATGTGCATGTGATGGTATTCATGATTGGACCACCTCAATGCCACGTCAGAGCTCAAGCGCTTCTACCTGCAGGTGAGATGTGCGGCTGTGATGCTGTGTGAGGAGGGGGGGGGAGGGGAAAGAGAGGGGGGGAAGGCGAAAGAGCGTGAGGGGAGGGGAAAGAGAGGGGGGGGAAGGGGAAAGAGAGGGGGAGGGGGGGGGAAGGAGAGGGGGGGGAGGGAGTGGTTGGGCAGCTCAAGCGGTTCTACCTGCAGGGGAGATGTGCGGCTGTGATAGTGTGTGCTTGTGATGTTTGTTGTAGGGAGTCGCAGGGCACAGTGCGCTGGCGTAGCGGTCGCTGGAGCCGATGCTGCCGGATGCAGCTCTGGCAGAGCTTTCCCCACATTTCCCCCAACCCCCCCCCCCCCCCCATTTTTGAGTCGACTCAAAAACACGGCGCTCTGGCAGAGCGGTCGCTGGAGCCGGTGCTGCTGGATGCAGTCCCAGAAAAGCCCTTTCCCACATCCTCCATCCCCATTCCCTTCCACCTCCCCCATGCTCGCCCATCATTTCCCCCTGCACAGTACACCTTCCCACCTTCTTCAGTCGGCGAAACCGGACGTGCCGGGTTCACCAGTCGCAGGGAGGTTGGCCACGGGGCTTTAGCTGAACGGTCGCTGGAGCCAGTGCTGCCAGATGCGGCAGGTTTCCCCTACACCGTGCGGGTGGAGTCCACCATCACAGAGAGCAACGGCTCCTCTAGGTGGGTGTGGTGCAGGGTGTAAGGGGTTTAAGGTTTTAAGGTCTGGGAGACACTGCCGGATGCAGCAGGATTCCCCTACACTGTTCGGGTGGAGTCCACCATCACAGAGAGCAACGGCTCCTCGAGGTGGGTGTGGTGCAGTGCAGGGTGTGAGGGGTTTAAGGTTTTAAGGTTTGGGAGACACTGCCGGATGCAGCGAGCTTCCCCTACACCGTGCGCGTGGAATCCACCATCACAGAGAGCAACGGCTCCTCCAGGTGGGTTTCGTGGTGTAAGGTTGGTTGGGGGTGCAGCAGGGTTTAGAGTGTACCACAAGCTAGGAGGATTAATGGATATGTAAATCGATTAGGCGTCAGAATTTTATGGCCTGAGTCAATGAGCTTATGAGTCACCATCTTCCTGCCCGTTCCCCGCTTCCCCCCTCCCCACTGCTCCCTTCCATGTTCCCCCTTGCAGCATGGCATCAGTATGGGGGGGTTGCCTGGCAATGCTGGACACTTGGGTGCCTCTCCTCCGCACCCCAGTGGCGGGTGGCAATGGGGCTCATTCTCCACACCCTCTTTCCCCGTCTTCCCGCGTCTCATTCTCCCACGTTTTTCCTTCCAGCATGGCGTCAGTGTGCGGTGACTGCCTGGCAATGTTAGACGCGGGAGTTCCCCTCCGTGCTCCAGTGGCAGGAGTGGCAATGGGGCTCATTCTCCACACCCTCCCTTGCCAGCTCTTCCCATTCTCACAGACATTCTCACCCCACCACACCCCATCCCACCTCCCCTGTTATATCCCTTCCGGCATGGCGTCTGTGTGTGGGGGCTGCCTCGCAATGCTGGACGCGGGGGTTCTCCTCCGTGCCCCAGTAGCTGGACTGGAGTAGCCATGGGTTTGATTCTGCACACGGAGCAGGCAGGGGGGGACGGCACCCCGGTTACACTCACAGACATTCTGGGGTCGGAGGATGCGCTGGGCTGGAGAATTGGTTCTTTTCCATTATTCTTTCACCCCCTGCCTCTCCTCTGTGTTCCTTCCAGTATGGCGTCTGTCTGTGGCGGTTGCCTTGCTATGCTGGATGCGGGAGTCCCTTTGCGTGCCCCTGTAGCTGGAGTAGCCATGGGTTTGATTCTGCACACGGAGCAGGCAGGAGGGGACGGCACCCCGGTTACACTCACAGACATTCTGGGGTCGGAGGATGCGCTGGGCTGGAGAATTGGTTCTTTTCCATTATTCTTTCACCCCCTGCCTCTCCTCTGTGTTCCTTCCAGTATGGCGTCTGTCTGTGGCGGTTGCCTTGCTATGCTGGATGCGGGAGTCCCTTTGCGTGCCCCTGTAGCTGGAGTAGCCATGGGTTTGATTCTGCACACGGAGCAGGCAGGAGGGGACGGCACACCAGTCATCCTCACAGACATTCTCCACTCCTCTCCCCTGTGTGTCCCTTGCAGTATGGCGTCTGTCTGTGGAGGGTGTCTCGCAATGCTGGATGCAGGAATTCCGCTCCGTGCGCCAGTGGCCGGGGTGGCAATGGGGCTCGTTCTGCACACGGAGCAGACAGGAGGGGACGGCACTCCGGTCATCCTCACGGACATTCTGGGGTCAGAGGATGCGCTGGGGGACATGGACTTCAAGGTGGCGGGCAGTGCCAAGGGGGTGACCGCGTTTCAGATGGATATTAAAGTGCAAGGGATTACCATTGATGTCATGCGCACTGCTCTTGAGAGGGCCAAGCAGGGACGGCTGCACATATTGGGTGAGTGAGTGCTATGCGGCTGGCTGCTTTTGAAGCATTCTGGGGTCAGAGGATGCGCTGGGGGACATGGACTTCAAGGTGGCGGGCAGTGCCAAGGGGGTAACCGCGTTCCAGATGGATATCAAGGTTCAGGGGATCACGATCGATGTCATGCGGACGGCTCTTGAGCGGGCCAAGCAGGGACGGCTGCACATATTGGGTGAGTGAGTGCTACGCGGCTGGCTGCTTTTGAAGCATTCTGGGGTCAGAGGATGCTCTGGGGGACATGGACTTCAAGGTGGCTGGCAGTGTGTGGAGGGGAGGGGGTGACGGCCTTCTCTCCTTACATGCATGCATCTGTGCAAATCCCATACTCCCATGCACCCGTGCACCCATGCACGGATGAATCCAAGCATCCATGCACCCATGTGCTCATGCACCCATGCTCCCATGCACCCATGCTCCCATGCACCCATGCTCCCATGCACCCATGCTCCCATGCACCCATGCTCCCATGCACCCATGCTCCCATGCACCCATGCTCCCATGCACCCATGCTCCCATGCACCCATGCTCCCATGCACCCATGCTCCCATGCACCCATGCTCCCATGCACCCATGCTCCCATGCACCCATGCTCCCATGCACCCATGCTCCCATGCACCCATGCTCCCATGCATCCATGCAGGTGAGATGGCAAAAGCTCATCCTCCCCCGTCCAACCGCCTCTCGCTATACGCTCCCCGATGCGAATCCATCCAGGTGCGCAGTGCGGTGGGGTGGGGTGTGGTGCGGTGGGGTGTGGTGCGGTGGTGTGGGGTGCGGTGGGGTGCGGTGAGGTGCAATGGGGTGGGATGGTATGCGGGGGTGGTCTGGGGTGGAGACTGGTGGGGGCATGCATGCAGGCAGGTGAGCATTCGTGAGCAGAGTTGGGGGATGGAAGCATGGGGGAAAAGATTGATACGGCACCATCACCATGCCAAACATCCATTTGCCACTTTGAGGCGCCTCAAAACTAGACGCCTCAAAATTTGAGGCGCCTCAAAACGGCACCACCATCACCATTCAAAACATCCATTTGCAACTTTGAGGCGCCTCAAAAAACTTTGACACCCTCATCACTTCCTTCATTTGTTTCTTCGTTTGTTCGATTCTCTGCTCTCTTCTCTTCTCTCCCCTTCTATCTCGCCCTCCTCCATCTCCTCTATCCCCTCATCTCTCCCCTCCTCTCTCCCCTCTTCTCTACCCTCGCTCCCTTCATCCCTCCCTTCTTCTCTCCCCTCCTCTCCCCCCTTCTCTCTCCCCTTCTCTCTCCCCTCCTCTCCCCCCTTCTTTCTCCCCTCCTCTCCCCCCTTCTCTCTCCCCTCATCTCTCCCCTCCTCTCTCCCCTCCTGGATCCCCTCCTCTCTCCCCTCTTCTCCACCCTCTCTCCCCTCCTCTCTCCCCTCTTCTCTCCCCTCGCTCCCCTCGTCCCTCCCTTCTCTCTCCCCTCCTCTCCCCCCTTCTCTCTCCCCTCCTGACTCCCCCATCCCTCCCCTCGTTTCTCTCCTGACAGGTTGACCCAGAGAAGGTGAATCTCATCATTGGCAGCGGTGGAAAGACTATAAAGAGTATAATCGAGGAGTCTGGAGTCGACTCAATCAACATCGAGGATGGGGGACAGGTATGGTATGAGTGATCTTTGTTACCAGCATGTGGTTACCTCGTTTATCCCCGCACCACACCCTTCCTCCCTCTCCCCACCACCTCACCTCAACTTCTTCCCCCCCCACCCGCACACCTTTCCTCCCTCTCTCCCTCCGCCCCCCCCCCCCCCCCCAGCTGCGCATATATGTGCAGTCAGCAGCAGCACTGGAGCTGGCAAGGGCGAGCGTAGAGGGGCTCAACACAAGTGCCCCTTCTTTCGCTTAACCCATCACTTGGCTCCCCGATTTATCCCCACGCTGTATCCCCACAGCTGCGCATATATGCGCGGTCGGAGGCGGCACTGGAGCTGGCAAGGGCGCGCATAGAGGGGCAGCTTAAACACCCCCTCCTCCCTCTCCCCCTCATTCACTCCCCACACCCCCCGTACATTCTCTCCCCCCTCAACCCCCCCACCAGCTACGCATATACGCGCGGTCGGAGGCGGCACTGGAACTAGCAAGGGCTCGAATAGAGGGGCTCCTACAGCACTCCTTCCTTGCTCTCCTCCCCCCAGCCCACATCTCCCCCCTCTCCCCTCCCAGCTGCGTGTATACGCACAATCGGAGGCGGCACTGGAGCTGGCAAGGGCGCTCATTGAGGGTCACCTTGATTGAACACCCACTCCTCCCTCTCCCCTTCGTTCACTCCCCGCACCCTGCTTTCAATCCCCCCCCCTCTCCAGCTGCGCATATACGCGCGGTCGGAGGCGGCACTGGAGCTGGCAAGGGCGCGCATAGAGGGGCTCACGATGGTGCCGGAAGTGGGGCAGATCTATCGGTGGGTGTGACAATAGTGGGTGTGACTGTAGTGGGTTCTGATTGCAGTGTGAGTATGACTGTAATGGTGGGTGCGATCGCGGTCAGAGGCGGCACTGGAGCTGGCGAGGGCGCGCATAGAGGGGCTCACGATGGTGCCAGAAGTGGGGCAGATCTACCGGTGGGTGCGACTCTATTGGGTGTGTCTCTATTGGGTGTGACTGAATGTGCGTGACCCTGTGGTGGGTGTGCATGTGGTGTTGGTGACTGAGAGGCGAGGGCGCGCATTGAGGGGCTCACGATGGTGCCAGAAGTGGGGCAGATCTACCGGTGGGTGTGACTGTAATGGGTGTGAGTGAATGCGTGAGTGCGCCTGTGGGCGCGGGTAGAGTACGAGCGACTCAAAGTGTCACACTCTCTTGCGTCTCTCACGTGCCGTTTTACAATTCCCAGAAGAGCCTTGGAACTGCTAAGAGCCTCTTTGACAGTTTCTTTGAGCCTGGAACTCTCTATTCAGGCTTTAAGAGACTGCCAAACACACTGAATCCCTTTCCAAGAAACTCTCTGTGTACCTGTTCTTCTGCCCCCCGTGCGTCCCCATGCCCACCCCCATATAGTGACTGTGTGGTGAAGACTGTTGTTCCGTACGGGGCATTTGTGGAGCTCAAACCAGGGAAAGAGGTGAGCGGAGGGGAAGGGTGTTAACGTAGAGAGGATTCGGGAGCGTGGGGAGGTGGAGAGGTGGAGCAGAGTAGGGGTGTGGGGAGATGGGAGAGGGGGGGCAGAGTAGGGGTGTGTGGGAGATGGGAGAGGTGGAGCAGAGTAGGGATGTGGGGATGGGAGCGTTTGGTGAAACACTGTTGTTCTGTACAGGGCTTTTGTGGAGCTCAAAGCATGGAAAGTGGTGAGCAGAAAGGGGCGAGCTGTTATGGGAGAGAGGGGGCAGCGTAGGGGTGTGGGAGTGAGACTTGTGAAAACTATTTTAACCGTGCGGGAAATTCGTTGGGATCAAACCAGAGCGGAAAGGGGAATGGGAGAGGGGGGGCAGAGTAGTGGTGTGAGTATGGCAAGCAGGGGTGAAACAGAGGGGAAGGTAGAAAGGGAGAGGTGAGTAGAAGGGGGCGGAAAAGGGGGAAGGTGGAAAGATGTGACGAGGTGGTTGGAGAGTGTTAAAGAAATAAGTGCTTGCTACAATAGTAATCATTCTCTTCCTTTTTGCAAGCAACTGATGATTCATCCAGGAAAAGGGTACACCTTTTCTCACTCCCCTTCCTCCCCTCTCCTCTCCACCACCCTCTTGTTTACTTCCATTCTCTCACCCCTCACCTCCCCTCTCCCCTCTTGAGTCGACTCGTAAGTCACCAGTAGAAGGTACACTCCCTCTCACTCCCCTGCCTGCCCTCTCTGGTTTACCTCCACCCTCTCACCCTTCACCTACCATCTCCCCTCTCTCGCCCATCCCTCTCTGTTGCTCTTTCCTCTCTCTGCCCCCCCTACTCTCCCCATCCCTCCCATCCATCCTCCCAGGCCCTCATTCACGTCAGTGAGCTTTCTACAGTTCGCCTCAACAAACCGGAGGATGTATGTTTCTTCCTGCCATGACCTTCCATCCCATCTTGCCAACCATTCACTTCCATTCACTTCCATTCACTATCTATCTTCCTGACACCAAAGGCCACCTTCCTCCTGCCATGGCTTTGCTTCCTTCCCTCGCAACCCTGTTTTTCTTACAGTTTCCTGTCATTCTGGAGTCACTTTTTGAGAATTCTGAAGATTGCCTCCTCGCATTTCTTCCTTGTTCCTTCTGCTACCATTTTACTGCTTCACCTTTGAATCCTGACCTTACGCGCCTAAAATTCTATCTTCTTCTTCCCTGTCTTCTCCCATTCTACCAGTTTGTTGCAGTCGGGGATACTCTTGACGTCAAGATTCTTGAGGTGGGTTCGTGCTCTTCTCGGTACAGTCACCACGTGTACAGTCTCGTTTCTGTTCCATGTTCCAAACAGTGTACTGCACTCAGTGGGCAAGTGGGGGGTTTATTGGGGGATGCATTGGGAAGTGCACTGGGAAACGCACTGAGAGATGCACTGGGGAAAGTGCTGGGATGGGGATATCTTTGAACGTGTTATGGTTTCTAGGGTGAATTGGGTTTGACATTCCTTCGGTATCATCTCCAATACAAGAAACCTCCTTGTTGAAGCAACAACCAAATTTCAGATCGTTTCGCCCACTGGAAAATCTCCAATATTTTTTTGTTTGTTCTTGTTTTTTTTGCCAGTCCTCCCCACTTTTTCCAATGCCCATTCCATCACGATCAACTTTCTTGTTCCACCTGCCTCCTACCCACCCCTTCCCTGTTCTTCTTCCGTGCTTCCCTGCTTTTCCCCCTCCCCTTCTCTTCCCCATCCACCAATGCAGATCAATGCGAGAGGCCAGCTGCGATTGAGTCACAAGGCAGTGCTTCTAGAGGAGGGCAGGGAGCCCGTCCCCTCTAGTAACGCATCCGCTACAAGCACATCAATCCCCAATGGATCGGACGGGGAGAATAGAAATGCGGTGGGAGCTGGGAAAGGTGGGTATGCCCCTCCTAAGTTTGTGAAGCCTAATGCTCCTGCGTCCCCTTCGCCCTTGGTGCCCAAGCCAAGGGGTAGGTGAAAAAGGGATGGCTAGTACGGTAGGAGGTAGAGATACAATATTGAATTTACACGAGAACTTCTGCACACATTATTGAATGTACGGTACCTACCGTACTAAGGAAAGAGAGGCCATGTGCATTCCATTATGCTGGCTTGATAGCATAGTGATTAGGCATACAAACATGTATGAAAGCTGGGAACTAGATGCGTACATTGCATACTTCTGAAATAGCTCAACTATAGCCCAACAATCTCTGTTGTTGCAGGATTTGGAATATGTTCCTAATCGCGTATGTTCGCAAAGCTATGGTAGTAACAGGCAAGAGGTACGGTGCCTGTAACGAGGATGAAAGCAATCTCTCCAACGCAGCCGCACCCAAAACCCCGCTCTCCTTCCAGCCACCCTCCATTCTCAATTTCTCCTCCCCTTTCATAAGCATGTTTCTGGTTTGCTAGCTTAGTCTTACTTTCCAAGTTCCATTCTTGGAGTGCTCGCTCTATCTGCGATGGGTCGTCTCCGGCGAGATCTCCCCTCAGTCCTGTGCTTCGGTGACTGATCATGGGGCTCAAACGAAGACCTGTGCGAAGATGTCTCCATCTGCTGACCGTGAAGTGCGCGACGTCGTGTAATCCTGCTCTACTGGCTGTGCAATGCAATGGCGGGAAGCCTTTCTTCCATTCGCTGGGAAGTAAAAATATTGTGAGTAGCCTGAATATTCCTTTCCCTGGTTACCGGTCTTCACCGCTCGTTCTACCCTCTTTCGATTACCGGGGCCGTTGATGATCGCTATGGAATTACCGTCTGACATCAGTAGCTTGCTACTTCTGAAGAGAAACAGCGGCTTTTACTGAGGTCCCGATTGAGCCAAGATCTACATTTTCTTGTTTTCGCAATGTCTGGGAGCGGTGATGATTTTCAAACCAGTTTAAACGCCAGTTCTGCTTCTGAATTCTTTTGATGTCCACTGGTTATATTCCCTGAGCTCTCTTGCACATTCAGTTGGGCCGTCTTGATGTGGTACATCAGCTGTGTTTGTTAATTATTTCAACTGTATTTTTTTCCGGTGATCTATCTGTGGCTTGCTCTGCAGTGATGCACAAACTTTAGGTTGCTGATCATCGTTGATGTTATTTAACCTTCCTCTGTCCCTGAGCATTCAAGCCACTTTTTCTCTCTTTCTCTGAGGTCATTTGATATTTCTTCTCGTAGAATGTTGGCGTTGTCCTTAATTAATGTCCTGTATGTCGGCTATGATGTGACCTTATCCGCGCTGCTGATCCCTTTCGAGGGAACTGTGACGATTGGACAAAACGGTTGAATCTCTTGATCTGAGCCTCATTACTCAGCGGTCACTGCTGTTTGTTTCTTTTCGTTTATTGCATTAGGCTTACCCCTCCGTTCAGCAGAACGACATGTGCGATTTTGTCGCATGGAACGATTTAGAATGGAGGATAATCAAGCAGACAGTCCTACTCCGGGATTGCGCAATGATATCAGTTTGCAGTAATCTCGAACGGGCTACCAACAATTTTCATTTCATCGGCCAGGTCCTCTCGGCTCTAATCGGTCTTTCGTTTCTAATACTAACGACCTTCGATGTTTTCTCATCTGTGGTCCAGATCCGGTGATGCTGGCCAATTTTGAATTCCAGCAGTCGGAAACAGAATCTGCTGATTGATCCCTGTACCTGCAACCTTCGCCCCTCGGGAGCTTGCTTCTATTCTGGTACGCATTGGTCGTTATGTCTTGCTAATGAAATCGTTGTATCATGCTTCCATATGACACTCAAAGCTGGCCAGTGATGAGAATAAACGTCGCTATCCTGACATGCCTTCTGCATGCTGTGATGCCAAATACAGTCTCACCTGACAATGTCTGAGGCCAGCTTATATCTTGCTGTCTTTTTTTTAATCATTTTCTTTCCCTCTTGGTCATACCTAAGCCTGTAATGGAAACGTCGTTTTTTGTCTTGCAGGTGCCATTTTCCTGTGGTCTGTATCGTTAGGGATGCTTCAACAAATGTGAATGTCCACTGAATATTATACATAAGAATATTATACAAATGTGAATGTCCCTGAATATTTAACATACCGGTAACAGTATTGTACCAATGTGATTGTGAATGTTTCCTGGGTAGTCCCAGTTTACTCTGAAAAAAATATTCAGTATGTTTTTCAATTTACACCAGAATTCGTACCGGTACCTACTTTGCTCATTCTTTGTACCGTTATGACAACAGACATCGTTGGACAAGCTTCACACCCAGCCTAGTATCTTATATATACTACACTCAAGGCAGCGCAACAGCCCAACATCAGAAACCGAAAAGGCAGAAGGAAGGAAAATGCAGTCTCACGTTTCAGCATCATATCCTAAACCCTGCTACTGCAGCCGCAGCAGTATGCCCGATTTTTGTCCAAAAGTCTGAACCCTTGCTAGTTCTGCCTAACAAGCTCAGCAGGAGCAGTACAGACCATGTTCCCCAATACGACCTGCTGCCTGCTGTAGCACAGCTGCCCATCTACCCCCTAGAATTCTTCCCCTCACTGCTGCTCCTGTTAAAAGCCTTCAGCATTCCCCTCCACTGTTGCTCCTGCAATAACCCTCCAGCATTCTCCCCCCCCTCCTACAGTTGCCCCTGCAAAAACCCTTCAGCATTCCCCACAACTGATGCTGCTGCAGAATCCTTCCAGCATTCCCCCCCTCACTGCAGCTCCTGTAAAAGCTCTCCACCATTCCGCCCTTGCTGCTGATCCTGCAAAAACCCTCCACCATTCCTCCCTTGCTGCTGCTCCTGCAAAAATCCCTCCATAGTTTCTTTCTCACTGCTGCTCCATGAAGAAAAATATCCAGCACTCTTCTTTCACACTGCTGCTCTGAGAAAGAAACGACCTCCACCCCTCCTCCCCCAATGCTGCTCTGGAAAGAGAATCAGCACCTGCCGTGCCGGCAACAGTGCCCTTCTCCTGCCGCCCCTCCTTTCTCCCCCCCCTTTCGCCCCTCCTTCCCGAGTTGCTACAATAGTCAACCATTCCTCCCTCACTGCTGCTCTGGAAAGAGGCTCAGCACCTGTCGAGCCGGTGACGGTGCCCTTGCAGCCGCCCCTCCTCTCCCTCCCCCTCCCCTTCCTGCCGAACCTGCCGCTGCAGCAGCAGCTGCCGCCGCAGCTGCTGCCATTGCTGCTGCCGCGCCTCCCATATCCCCTCCCATTGCTCCCCCCAATCCACCACCTGGGAAATCCCGGCCAAAAATATCCCTGGCGTGACTCATAGGCCCGAATCTACTCCCACTACCAGCATTCCCCAACCCCCCTGCTGACATCCCCAGATTCCCCATCCCCCCCTGCCCTGCTCCCCCACCCCCCATGCTCCCCATTCCCCCTGGTCCTGCCCCCCCAGCCCCCAGACTACCCATCCCCCCCAGCCCCGTCCCCCCAGTCCCTAGGCTCCCCATTCCCCCTGAAGCTGCCGAGAGCAAAGGATTGAACTGGGACGGGGCAAAGGGGAGGGAGGGTGACCTTTGCTGCTGTGCTGCTGCTGCCGCTGCTGCTGCTGCTGCCGCTGCTGCTGCCGCCGCTGCTCCTGGTGGCTGGTTCGACCCTCCCCCCATCCCCCCCATATGTCCCCCACCTAATCCACCCCCATGTCCCCCTCCTAGTCCCCCAGCATGCATCCCCCCAAGCCCTCCACCCCCATGCATCCCCCCACCAGCGCCTCCCCCCAAACCCGCCCCACCATGACTGTTCTGCCCGAGACTATTCTGTCCATGATTATTCTGCCCGAGATTATTCTGCCCGTGACTATTCTGAAGGTCGTAAAACGCCGCAGCTGCTGCATACGCACTCAGCGCTCGCCCCAGAATCGGGTCTGCTGCAGCAGCTGCAGCCGCAGCAGCAGCACCAAGCGGATTCCCCACGGGGTTATGAGCAGCAGCAAGGTATTGCGCTGCTGCCGCCTGCTGCTGCTGCTGCTGTTGCTGCTGCTGCTGCTGGGAACTCGAAAGAGACGCAGCTAGCTGGGAAGAGAGCAGGGGGGTTGACCCTCCTCCGGCTGCTGCAGCAGCGGCGGCGGCGGCGGCAGCAGCAGCAGCAGCCGCAGAGAAATGAGGAGAGGAGAGGAGAGGGTCGTTTGGATGGAGTGAAGGGGGGAGGGAGGAGAGCCCTGCTGCTCCTAACGCGGATAGAGCGCCCCTGAGGTTCCCCATAGTGTTTCCCCCTGCTGCTGCTGCGGCGGCAGCGGCGGCGGCGAGGGGGTTGAGAGTGGGAGGAGCGGTGGGGGGGGGAGGGGCGGATGGCGGGAAGAAGGGCTGTGGGGGGCTGTTGAGGCTGGTGGGGAGGGGTGTGGAGGAGAAGAGAGGATCGCCTCCTGATGGGTCGTCCCCAGAATGACCCTGCGAGAGGGAGAAGGTGAGAGCGAGAAAGGAAAGGAGAGACAAGAGGGGATAAGACAACGGTATTCTCCGAAGAAAAAGGGTTGTGGAGGAGAAGAGGGGATCGCCCCCTGACGGGTCGTCCCCAGAATGACCCTGCGACGTGAGAAAATGAGAGCGGAAAGGAAGAGTGGAGGGGAGAGATGAGAACAAAAAATATATCTCGCCCGCACTCAACGTACCAGACTCGCCCTTGCGTTCCTGACCATCCCTCCCGTTGTGTCTCTTAATCCATCTCCCTCTCTCTATACTAAAATTTTATCTCCATCCCCATCTCACCCTATCTCCCCCCATCTCACTCTATCTCTCTCCATCTCTCTCCATCTCACCTGCATCCGCTTTAGGTAGAGGCGATACTTCTGCAAATGTGATGCCACGTTCTCCCTGCATAAGGACGGCGAAGGTGGTGGGAAGAAGGGGGCGAGGAGAGAGGGGGGAGGAGGGGGAGGGGAGGAGAGGGAGGGGAGGAGAGGGAGGGGAGGAGAGGGAGGGGAGGAGAGGGAGGGGAGGAGAGGAAGGGACGGAAAGGGAGGGGAGGAGAGGGAGGGGAGGAGAGGAAGGGGCGGAAAGGGAGGGGAGGAGAGGGAGGGAAGGTGTGGGCAAGTCTTGTCGAAGGTGGACAGCTAGGCCGCGAACAGTACATAGTGTGGCTCATACAACAAAACAAATTAAGTTTAGAGACGTCGCAAAGCTCATACGAAGAAAACATATTATATGCTCTTCCACCCACACCCACACCCACACCAACCCCCACACCCACACCCACACCCACACCCACACCCACACCCACACCCACACCCACACCCACACTCACACCCCACTCACCTAGTGAGTCCTTCAACGTTCATCAATTGCATTATCGTCTTCGGCACGGCGTTCTTAATGCCCAGATGCGACACAGCGTCCACAAACCGCTTGTGCAGCTGGGGAGGGGATGGTGAGAGCACATGGGAGGAAGGGAGGGAGGGAGGGAGGGAGGGAGGGAGGGAGGGAGGGAGGACGGGACAGGAGATGGTTTTCTGTACCTGTGGGGTCCAGACGAGGCGGGGGCGCTTGAGAGTGAGAGGGAGGAAAGGGAGGGGGGGGGGAGTGTCTACTCTACCTGCATAACTCTTGAACGTACCTGTGGGGTCCAGACGAGGCGGGGGCGCTTAAGAGTGCAAGGGAGAAGAAGGGGGGGGGGGGGGGGGGGATGTCTATTCTACCTGCATAACTCTTGAACGTACCTGTGGGGTCCAGACGAGGCGGGGGCGCTTAAGAGTGCAAGGGAGAAGAAGGGGGGGGGGGGGGGAGTGTCTATTCTACCTGCTTAACTCTTGAACGTACCTGTGGGGTCCAGACGAGGCGGGGGCGCTTAAGAGTGCAAGGGAGAAGAAGGGGGGGGGGGGGGAGTGTCTATTCTGCCTGCTTAACTCTTGAACGTACCTGTGGGGTCCAGACGAGGCGGGGGCGCTTGAGAGTGCGTGGCTGGCCGTCGCTGCTGTTGCCCTCCTGATTGCCTACCACGTGGATGAATGGATGGACGCATATGGGCTCTTGACACGTGTCAAAATAAGTGGCAGCAGATGTTGCATGTGTTGGTTGGGTGCGGATAGATGCAGATGGATGCGGGTCGATGCGGATGGGGCAAAATGACAGCGAACAGGAGGACATCAGGGAGTAAGGGAGTAATAGCGCACACGTGCGCGTGCACGCACGCACACACACACGCACGCACGCATGCACGCACACACACGCAAACAAACCCACGCACGCACGCACGCACGCACTCTCCCCCTCCTATCAATCATACACACACCTGAATCCTCATCTGGCTCAGGTGACGAATCCTTCCCTTTCCTCGCCCTCTTCCCGCCACCCTCCTGCTGCTCCTCCTGCTGCCGCTGCTCCTGCATCCGCTCCTTCGCATTTCCACTCCTCAGGCTCCCATTCCTTCCCTCCCCCTCGTCCATACTCAAACCCTTCCCGTTCCCCACGCTATCACTCACAGCACCCCTGCTCATCCCCCCCCCTCCATCCCTCTGGCTTCCTCCCCCGTCCCTCTGCTGCTGCCGCCGCCCTTCCACCTCTCTTGACCTCTCTCCACGCCAATCCCTCTCCCTCTCCTCGTCGTCTTCCTCCGCACTTCCTCTCTCCCGCTCCCTTTGGCTTTCTCTCTTCCTCTCTCTCTCCCACCCCCTCTCTCTCCCCCTCTCCCTCACTCCCTCACTCTCCTCCCTACGACCCTGACCTCCATCGCCCGAAAATTCCGGTCCATTTTCCGACGCGCGCCTTCCAGAAGCTGTCAAATTTCTAGGGTTATTTCCCCCACTATTTCCTCCCAGGTTATTAAACCCCCCATTTCGACCCTTTTGCACATTATCAATCCCGTCACCGGTGCGCCTCAACCCTTCCTTTAAAGACCCCCTTTCAACACCACCCGAGCCTCCGTCCGAACCTGCTTCCGAGCCACCCCCTTCATGTCTCCACCCTCCGAACCTGGCATCCACATCAGCAGGAGCGCCTCGTAATCCCCCTGGGCCGAACCCGGCGCTTGAACGGTTAGGATCATCAGGAGCAACGGTATTGCCGAGCCTGCCGTCTTGGTATGGCATACGAGCTTGAGGCCTATCCTGTCCAGACGCCAACGGATAGTCTTCGTTAGGACGCTTGCGTCCATCCTCGTTGGAAAACTTGCGATCCGCTTCGTTATAAAACCTCTGTGCGTCAAAATCCCCGCGTCTGGGCTCTTGGTCGCGGGGAGCCCTCTGATAGCCGGGGAACAGCGCAGCGGCCGCCCGCTTGTCTCCTTTCCCGCGCATCGCTTCCGCTCCAGTTGACGCAGAAAAATGTTCGCGCTGCTCCTCCTGCTCGCGTTGCTGCCGCTGCTGCCTCTCCTGCCGCTGTCGCTGCTCCTCTTTTTCAAACTCTTGCCTCTGATTACCCTGCTCCCCTTGCTGCTCCCGCTGCTGCTCCCTCTGCTGCTCCCGCTGGAGCTGCTGCTGCCTCCCGTGCAAGTGCTCGCGTCGCTGCTCCAGCCTCTCCTGCTCTGCACGCGGCACTGGCGCGCGGTCCCCTTGAGGCGCGCGGTCATCATCAACAAAACGGTCGGCGGGGACAAACTCTCGCCGGCTCCGCTCATCCTGCCCGCGTTCCAGCGGCTCCTGGTCGTGCGACGGTCGCGAAGGAACGTTCGCGAAAGGAGACGCGTCTGCAGGAGGAGGATGATTAGACGGAGCGGCGGCTCGGGAAGCTCCTGTGTGAAGTGACTGAAACTGAGGGTGATTCAAGCTGGGAGAAACGATCTCCGGTCGTGTCGTTAATCTGGGATGTTGCAATATGTTGTTCAACGTGGCCTGGAAACGAAGGGATAAAATGTAACAAAATAAGCAAATGATTTAAAACACCTCGGAAACGATGAAACGGTAGTGAGCGAGGAAAGCGAAAGCAAAAGCTGAAACGCCACTTCAGCCAAATAGCTTTGATTCGAATCGCGAGACATTATTATGAGACCGGCTCGCAGGCGACCTAGCTTTAATTTACTACGAATCTCTAAACTACGGATCGTTCTTTAAGACTAAGAAACGGCATTCACTCTAAAACAAGGAATTTCCCAAGAGAAAATTAACGGCAGAGCAAACAGCCAAGGTTATGCTAAATAATATTTTCCAAGTCAACTCAAAAATAGGCGAAAGAATGTTGACCTGTGCAGCACGTTCGACGTCTTGCTCTGTAACGTTGTACATTGACTCCTTAATGCTGAACGCTGCAGCGAGCATAGGAGTAATAAGGCGTTGATTAAGAGGAACTAACTCCTCCTTAGTTGGCAAAGTGGCCTCCCAATCGCCACAGTTTCGCCACGCGTCGTTCCTCGTGGAGAGCCCGAGGGATAGCCCGTCACCGTCATCATTCCGAGCCGTCATTTTTTAATCTCCGACAGCCGGCTGAAAGCAACTACTAGGTTGCCTACCAGCAACTACTAGCTTCAAATAGGGTCTAACACTTCACGTGAAACCACCACAAACAAAAGCCTGCTCACCGCAAAAATGGCTCACAAGTCAAGACTGTGAATCAAGAAGGGGGGAGGGCAGGCGAGTTTGGTTGGTGGTGAAATGGAAGCAGATGACCCCACCCGCAGATTTTTCCAGCCATAGATTTTCCATATCCCAGCATTCCGTCTGAGAGACGGAAAAACTGGAGATCCTCTTTGTGAGGCTGAGGAGACCCCGTGGAAAGGTACTGTACAGCGTTTCGGGCAGGATTTGCTCCTTGAACGGGCAGCACTGTGCTGGGTCTCTTTGGAATCTTTGGGGAGGGCTGGTACATTACGTCCACGAATCACGAAAGCCGAGAGATGCACGCTTGACTGATTCTGTCGACAAACAAACCTGGGTTTTGCCTTGCTTCGAAAGTTGCCTGCCGGTCACCGCCTCACCACCAACCAACCTAACGGAATGCTGTCAAGTTCGAGGATAAGGCGTGGCTTTGTTTGCTTACAATTGGTTGAACGTCCCATGAAATCCCAACTCTCTGCCAACTAGCGGGATTCCTTCCTCGAGTGCTTGATTCCGTCGAGCCAGCTCAACAGGGCTCTCTTTTCGTTTTAGGGCACTCTTCCAAAAAAGGGTTCCCGCCGCCCGCCATCCGGCCAAGGCCGGGTGGCGTGCGGCAAAATCAGGGTAGTGGCAGGGTGTTTTTCGCCACACCTGATTTGTTGCAGGGTGATATTTTCGAGGACCCTGTTTTGCCACAAGTGTTGTGACTAGCACGGCACGCACTACAGCTGTCTGTACGAGTCTCAGCACTTATACATTTCTTGTTACAACACAGATGGAGTTCGCCAAAACAGCCCAATAGGATCAGCACCGCTCTACGGATGTGTCTGCGAGCCTCAGTACTTAGATTATTTTTCACAACACAGTTGGTGTTCGGCGGAACGGCCCAATAGGAACATGGGACATTCGTTTTTCGGCTAAGGAGAACTATCAGTGGCTAAGTGAAAATCACAGAAACACGTACACAAAGGGCCGGGTGCTTCGCTAAGGAACTCTTCACGTGCAGAGTAAAAACGATGGCAAGCCTGCTTCAGCCGTCTAAAATAAAAAGGCACTCGGATTGTGGCCGGGTGACATCCTTGGGGGACCCAGTCTTGGCAGGGTAGCGCCAAAAAACCACCCTGTTAGGCAGGGAAAACAGGGTAAAACACCCTGCAAAGGAGAGCCCTGCAGCTCAAGTGTTTCTCTTCACTTCAACAAGCACAGGTGCAATGGAATCAGGTGCATACAGTGTGCAGTGAACAATTCCGTGCAGGTCATTCCGGCTGCCCGGAGTGAAAACATGGAGAAAACAAACAAAAAAAAAACGCGTCTCCTCTGACAAGTTCCCACTGCCAGCAGCATCTCCAGCGTCTCTCTAGGCCAAATGGATGGATCTCGTCAGATTGCCAGCCACTACACCCTCTTTCTCGCCAGACTGACATTGGCCATATTGACGGACCGGCTGTACTGACATCAACGCGTCCAGAATGGTCCCAGAACATACCATATAAGCACATTTGCCGCACTCAACCGTACGCAAAAGCATGTTTCCTTCCATAAAACGTTGTGTACCGTTCCTCTGGAGTGCATTTGCCCGCCACCTACCTGCCGTTCGGTTGCAAGCACCAGATCGCTAGGGTCCAAGGAACAGTACGCTAGGGTCCAAGTAACAGTACGCACTGTAGCCAGTGCTTCCCATTGTCAGTCTGGCGCGAGAGAGGGTGTAACATATACAGCACACCTTCGAGATCTGGCATGTGTGGGTGGAAAGGCACAGTCTCAAACAAAGTTCCGTTCATGGCAGGTGCAGTACACCCTCTTTCTCGCCAGACTAACAATGGGAAGCACTGGCTACAGTGCGTACTGTTGCTTGGACCCTAGCGATCTGGTGCTTCCAACGGAACCCCAGGTATGTGACGGGCAAATCCACTCCATAGAAACGGTACACAACGTTTTATGGAAGCAAACGTGCTTTTGCGTACGGTTGAGTGCGGCAAATGTGTTTATATGGTATGTTCTGGGACCATTCTGGACACATTGATGTCAGTACAGCCGGTCCGTTAATATGGCCAATGACAGTGTGGCGCGAAAGAGGGTGTATCAGTTAAAATGCATTGTAAGACTTGCTTAGGGGGTGTTACATTGGGCGCTGGTCCATTTACACAGAAATGGACCAGCGAAAGCGAGAGAGTACCAGTTTACCGGGACCACTTGCAAAAGTGGTCCGGGCCTGGTACCTGCGTGGTACCGGGGACCATTTGCAGCGGACCCAAACAGCACAGTGCTTAACATTTCGCAAATGCAAGGTGAACGAAAACCTTGTCGCACCCTGTCACACTTGAAATACATTTCGCATGTGAATTTGGAAGGTTGTTGTAGAGAAAAGGGGCGACATGAAGATTTCGCGAGTGCCTGGGCCGCGAATTGGTGTAGACTGTTGGAAGTGGTCTCCCACACCCTGTACGTGCGCCGACCACTGCACATGCTGGTCCGTGGGTGGTGCAACATGGGTCACCACCTGGGCTGTTTGCTGGTCCAAACAGCTGGTCCATGCTGGTCCGCGCGGGTGCCCCTGGGCCGCAGCGGCCCAGCGCGGCCCAGCGTAGTTCTTGCGCACATGTAACACCCCCTTATACCATAATTAGTTGATGTAAGGAAATTTCCTTTTCCTTATTTCGCGCCCCTGCTTACCGCGTACATGACCATTCCCGCCATCGGCACCCAACAGTGAAACGTTACCCGCTCGCGACACTCGTCTCGACTACGACTCCCGCCACTGTTCACGATGCGACCCAACCTCACGGTTCGGTTGGTAACCCACGCTCCGGACCTCCGCCTCGACATTTCCCAACCTCGGCGCTAGGCCCGTAGCGCACCCCATTTTATCGCGTTACCGTTACCACGCTAGCATCGCTATATATTCTTCGCTCATGCCTTCGCTCATTGTATTATTTTGCTTCGATAGTGCAATTCTCGCTCTCTCGCTCAATTAGGACCCATCCACTATAGTGGATGATCCTTATTGAACATTTTGTATTGTATTGTCCTTATTGGACTACAAAATGTTCAATAAGGACCATCCACTATAGACCCGACTAGCGGAGACAGTGGAAGCCTTCTCTTTAGGTTACACAACATTGTACCAGCATCCAGGAATGAAACCACTGGAGGGATGAACCGTGTACGACCAATGATCAGTGGAACTTCGTTTACAACCAATTACACGGGTATTCTAGCGGTCGACTCAATAGTGAATCGATGAGTTACAAAGACAGCTATACTGCATAAAAAAAAAAAAAAAAAAAAAAAAACACACACAAAACACAAAACAAAAAATCAAAGTCATTATGTCACTCCATTCCCCTCAATTACAATCCTAAAAAGAACTTGGTCAGGGATCGGCTCAGGGTTGTTCGCTGGTAGTGTTGCTGCGGAAGAGTTCACCTCATGTCAGAGCGAATGTAAATGACTGATATTATAATAGCAATGCATATATCGAGTTATATAGGAAATACAGAGGAAAACGATGAGAAGATTTGAACAAGAATGAATGAACTATGAATGAAGTGAGTACATAT